AGCCAGATTCCGAAAAGGATTCAGCACGATCCACCATATCCACACGGTAACCAAGCTCACTGAAGTTTTGTGAGAGAAGATGCCGCTCTGTCTAACGTTCATCAATTTAAAGAAGGCCTTTGATTCTGTTGAGACTGAAGTGGTCATCAAAGCCCTAGCCAAACAGAGTGTTCAAACTCAGTACAACAGGATCCTCCGTGAGCTGTATTACGGATTCACCACCAGGATCTCACCATTCTACAAGGAAACGACCATCAACGTAAAGAGAGGGGTTCGGCAGGGTGGTACCATTTCACCGAAAATCTTCAGTGCCACCCTCGAGAATGTTATGTGACGACTGGAATGGGAAGAAATGGGAGTGAAGATAGACGGTCAGCAACTACACCCCCTCCAATTTGCTGATGACATCGTTCTAATAACACCAAACATTAGCCAAGCGGCACAAATGCTGGCCGACTTCGACTTTGAATGTGGAAAGGTCACATTGCAGCTGAATCTCACCAAGACAATGTTCATGAAAAATGAACTAGTCCCTGATGTTCCATTTGCTCTCAATGGAACGAACATCTCCGAATGCAGCACTATGTGTACCTGGGTTGAGAACTCAACATGACAAATGTCTTGGCGCCAGAATTGCACAGGAGGAAAGAGTGGTGTGGAACACCTTCAAGAGCGTCGAAGAAGTTAAGAGGATGAAGAACCTCTGGCTCCGGGCACATCTTTTCGACTCTACTGTTCTTCCTGCGCTAACATATGCCTCAGAGACCTGGGCCCTGTGAAAACAGGATGAGAATGCTATTCGGGCATCCCAAAGAGGAATCGAAAGAGCTATGCTTGGAGTATCACACTTCACTCATGTGAAAGAAGGAATCCGGAGTTCCGATCCCTGTCGATGATCAAGAATCAGGGATGCTGTCTTATTTGCCAAGGCATCGAAAATCAGATGGACTGGATACATAATGCGATTTACAGATGACCGCTGAACTAGAGCTGTTACTGACTGGATTCTATGGGACGCCAAAAGGACGTGTGGCTGCCCACCTACGAGATGGTCAGACTTCTTCATCAAAACCTTGAACAAATGGTTTGAGGTTCTTCGTGTTCCTGGAGCGAGCAGATGCCATTGGGCTACTCTAGCATGCAACAGGGATGAATGGAGATGTTACTGGCGCCTGCTCGAGCAAATTGATGATCAATGGGATGACAAGTGATACAAGTGATATAATTTTATTTATTTTTAGCTTTTTGGGTCACAACTGGCAATGCTCAGGGGTTATTCCTGGTTTTACTCTCAGGAATTGCTCCTGGCAGTGCTCAGAGGTACCATATAGGATGCCAAGGATGGAACCTGTGTCAGCTGCATACAAGGCCCTGCCTACTATACCGCCCCATCTTTTTCTTTTTTTGGCTTTTTGGGTCACAACCCGATGGTGCTCAGGGGTTACTCCTGGCTCTGCACTCAGGAATCACTCCTGGCGGTGCTCAGGGGACCATATGGGATGCTGGGAATCGAACCCGTGTTGGCCGCATGCAAGGCAAACGCCCGACCCACTGTGCTATTGCTCCAGCCCCCCCATCTTTTTAAAAGCTAAAACGTGACACCTTACTAGAGTCATTGTACATGTATTGAAAGTATTGAAATAAACAGTTATTAAAAGTGCCTCCTTAGGGGCTGGAGTGATAGTATAGTGGGTAGGGTGTGTGCCTTGCGCGCAACGGACCTGGGTTCAATTCCAGGCATCCATGTAGTCCCATAATGTCTTTACCACACCTGGTGGTGCCCAGGGCTTACTTTTGACACTGCACTCAGGGGTCACTCCTAGTAGTGCTCAGGGACCCGTATGTGGTACCAAGGATTTGAACAAGGATCAGCCACATACAAAGGCCAGGGCCTACCTTTGTACTCTCTCGTCCCTCTTATCCATTCTGAGCACAGGACCCAATGGACATGTCAGGAGACCCTCCACCCACCCACCCACCATTCAAAGCAGCTGATGCTGCATCCTCTCAGCCTGGAGGGTGGAGTCCTGTGTCCGGATGTGCTGGTGTTTTGAGAAGCCTCCCTCCGAGTGCTGTCCCTGAGTGACAGCTGGTGACCCTGTGCACGGAGCTGCAAGCTTTTATGGCCTTACCTGGAGTGACACGCCATCCTTGCTGCCGTGTTCTGTTTGCTAGAAGTGAGTCACTATGCAACCCACACTTGTTCCTCTTCTTTTTTCAAATATGGTCCCTCCTGGTGCTGCTCAGTTGGGGGGAGTGTGGGGGTTACCAGACTGTAAGAGAGTCTTGCCTTGCTGGGAATCAGACTTAAGTGTGTGGAGGGCAAACTCAGCCCCTTTAAACTTTCTCCCTCGCCCTTTACTTTTTGTCGGGGGTGGTATTTCCAGAGGTGTTGGGGGATCACCTGGTGCTGGGGATGGAACTGTGGTCAGCATTTTACTCCTATACTAGCTCTCTGGCCCCAATTCTTTTTGTCACACCTGCAATGCTCAGGCTTCTGGGGTCTGTATTCAGGGATCACTCCTAGTGGGGCTCAGGGGACCATACGGGGTACCGGGGATAAAACCTGGGTCACCTATGTGCAAGGAAAGTATCCTACCCACTGTATTGTCTCTCTGGCTTCAAGAAAAATTTTTGATTTTTGAGTCACACCTAGTTGGGCTTTGGGTCCAGGGGTCACTCCTGGAGGTACTTAGGGGACCATATGGGGTGCCAGGGATAGAACCCAGGTCAGCCATGTGCAAGGCAAGCACTTTACCTACTGCATCTCTCTAGCCCTGCAAAAAAATTGGAGGAGGGGGGTGAGCATGGTACTGCCTAAGCAATGTTCTGGAGGCCCAGGGTCCATTCCTGGGGAATTTGTGGACTCTTGGTCAGCTGGACTTGTGGTTCAATACAAGGGCCTGAGGCTGCGCTGTTGTAGCTCACTCCACTGGTGTCTGGGGCTGTATCTGGTGATGCTCAAAGACCACATGGGACAGAACCCTGGAATCAAACCTTGTGGGCCTCCAAGCACGCTTCTTAGGCCCTGAACTATCTTTCCAACCCTATGGGGGAAAAAAAAACCCTTAATAATTTTTTTTTCTTTTTGGGTCACACCCGACCATGCTCAGGGGTTACTCCTGGCTTTGCACGCAGGAATCACTCCTGGCGGTCTTGGGGGGACCATATGGGATGCTGGGAATTGAACCCGGGTCAGTCGCATGCAAGGCAAACGCCCTACCCGCTGTGCTATTGTTCCAGCTTCAAACCTTAATAATTTTAACAGTTAGCCTTGGGGAAGAGCAGGATAACATTTGCCTGCATGTGTGAGGCCCTGGATCCATCCCCAGCATGGCACACTAAACTATTTTTTATCACTGAGTTTGTGTTTTCAAGTGCGGTCAAGTGAGACAATGGAGCAGGAGACAGAAAGCTGCATTTCAGGCCTTGTAGGGCTCCAGGCCTGAGCCTCATTGCGAACGGGGTGGATTCTCAGCTGGCTGCTGCCTGGTACCCCAGCAACCTGACCTCTCTGTGGCTACCATCCACTTAGGTGGGAGCCTGAGCATCAGTGCCAAAGGGCCAGTTGGACCTCAGGTTTGAACTTACATTCTCTGTGGTCTCTCTGGGCAGCTTAGGCCCCTTTCCTACCGTCGATCCACAGACCTCGAGGGTCCTGGTACCCTCAGGCTGCACTCTGGCATGTGGTTGTGGCACAAGGAAGGTGGGTGTGAGACAGCTAGCAGAGAAGCAGCTGACCCCAGCTCATTCTCAGGCCTGCACTAGGCTGACCCGGGTTTGATCCCCAGCACCTCGGATGGTCCCCTGAGTCCTGCCAGGAATGATCCTTGATCACAGAGCCAGAAGTAGGTCCTGAGCATTGCCTGGAGTGGCCCAAAAACCAAAAGATAAAGAACTCAGTCCTACTCAGACCTGGGACCAGGGATGTGCCTTTTAGGCAGAGCACTTGCCTTGCACAGGCGAGGCCCTGTGTTCCATCCTCAGCACTGCCAACCATTCCCTTCACCATCGTCATCGTCATCATCACCATCATCATCTTCCTCATCATTCAGGCCAGAGCACTGGCCCGCCCGGATTTCCTGGCCCTAGGCTATGCTCCCTGGTCTGTGCTGGCTTCCCTGATACCCTTTCTTTTCCCCTCCTAACCTTCCTGCCTGGGTGCATTTCTCCTGGGCTCTCTCCTAGCCAGCCTAATAAATTGCAATTTTGCATTTCCAGTCATTCCACATTTGAGCTCTATTTGCATTCAAAAATGACACCATCCACCCTAAAGACAAAGGGTAAGCGCCATAATCATAGTTTAAAATGCTGATTTTTCATTTACTGAGGATGATACCTAAAGAAATATGCCAAGTTGAGACTGCAGAAGAAAGGGGAAAGCTTCCTATGTGAGGACCTCCAAGGGCACTCCACCCTCCTTCTGAACCGGGGACGCATCATCTGCAAGTTTTTCATTCAGCAATGAGTCCTGCAAATTCTGCAGTGGATTTTGCTGACTTCGTAGTCTTTGTAATTTTCTTTCTTTCCATTACCTTACAGAAACACTCCCCGATCTACCTGATGTTACCCCTTTCTTTCCCAGAGACAGTGCCTAGGAGGGTAAAACCTTCCGACCATCCCCCCCAACCTCTCCCCGCCCCACACCCCGCCGAGCCGCGTGCCCCCGTCCGGACCCCGCCACGTCGCCTCCGTCCAAGGCTTCCCTCTGGATTTTCCTCTTTGTCATACATTAGCCTGCACAGCTCTTGAGATCAGTGGGAGGAGAGAGGGGGAAAAAAAAATCCCTGACAACGGAGTGTCATTTCAAACATGAAAGGAAATCGCTGGCACCCGCGGGGGAGCCGGAAACGCGGTCTGGGAAAGTTGGCTACGCGTCGTCGGGGCGCTGGGGAAGGCGACGTGGGAGCCGGCGCTCAGGGCGCGGCGGGAGCGGGGGCGCGGCCCCTTTAAGGGGCGGGGCGGGGGCGGGGCGGAGGCCCCTTCCCAGGCTGCCCCGCGCGCGCCGGCAGTTCGGCCACGTCCCCGGCCACGTCGCGCCCGCTCTCGCCATCTTCGCCGCTTCCTCTCAGGCGCCGCCGAGCTCCGGGTCGCCGCGCCGCCCGCCGCCGCCATGAACATCTTCCGGCTGACAGGGGACCTGTCCCACCTGGCGGCCATCGTCATCCTGCTGCTGAAGATCTGGAAGACGCGCTCGTGCGCCGGTGAGCGGCCGGGCCGGCTGAGGCGAGGCTGAGGCGCGGCTGAGGCGCGGGGCCGGCTCGCCGGGAGGCCCCGCCGGGCTCCGCCGCCCCCGGCCCGCGGCGGGTCCCGGCGCCCCGACACACCCCCTCGGCGGGCTGACGGGCGCGCGCGGCGGGGAAGCTTGCGGGGGGGCGGGCGGCGCCGCCGGCCTGACGTGGCCGTCCCGGAGGTCACCCCGCGCCGGGTCCCACCCGGCCCTGCCTGGCGGGGGGCTGCGCCCCGACTCGAGGGCCCCGCGGCTGGAGGGGCGTGGGGAGGGCCAGGGCGTTTCTCAGGGGGCAGCTCGGGCGGCTGGGGGAGGCACTCAGGGGCCCTGCGTGCCGACACACACGCTCGCCTCGGGGTCCTCGGGGGTCCCCCGGCAGCCTCCACGTCACCGTGAGCGGGGAGGCGCTCGGCCCCAAAGGCCGGTGGTCGAGGTGGGCTTTGAGGTGGCCCCCGCCGGGAACCCCGGGGGTGACAGGCTTCGGGGGACCCCCGCTTCGCCGGAATCCCGAAGACGACCGCGACCCCTTTTGCCCACTCCCGCTGGCCGCGCCCCACTCTGGAAAGACCTTTGAACTCCAAGGGGTCAAAGTCCTGGCCCACAGGGTTCTGGCTGGCAGTGCCCGGTCCGGCAGGCCTGCATGTGCCCGTGAAGGAGGGACCCGCCCCCTCCTCAAACCAAACTAGGGAGCAGCAGCAGTGGGGAGTGCTGTCTGTGCAGGAGGTGTGGGTTACCCCAACATCGGCACATGCCCCAGTGTGACCCCAGCATCACACACGCACCCCACTGTAAGTCCAGCATCTCTCTCTCTCACTCACACACACACACACAAAACTGTGAGTCCAGCATCTCTCACACACGCACAACTGTGACTCCAGCATTTCTTACACACACACACACACACAACTGTGAGTCCAGCATCTCTCTCTCTCTGTCTCACACACACACACATGCAACTGTGAGTCTAGCATCTCTCACACATGCATCCCACCGTGAGTCCAGCATCTCTCTCTGTGTGTCTCTCTCTCACTCACACAGCTGTGAGTTTAGCATCTCTCACACACACCCCACTGTGAGACCAGCATCCCCCCTCACTCATACGCAACTGTGAGCTTAGCATCTCTCTCTCACACACACACATAAAATTTTGAGTCTAGCATCTCTTTCTCACACACGCACCCCACTGTGAGTCCAGCATATCTCTCTCTCTCTCTCTCTCTCTCTCTCTCACTCTCACTCTCACACACACACACACACACACACCTGCAAGTCTGGCATATCTATCTCTCTTTCATCTCTCTTTCTCTTTCTCTCTCTCTCTCTCTCACACACACACACACACACACACACACTGTGAGTGAGTCCAGCATCTCACACATACCCACTATGAGTCCAGAATCTCACATACACCAACTGAATCCAGCCTCTCTCTCACACATACACACACACATGCATGTGCACACACACACACACACACACACAGAGACACACTGTGAGTCCAGCAATTCACACACCCCACCCAACTGAACCCAGCATCTCACACATCCACTGAGTCCATTATCTCTCTCTCTCTTCCTTTCCCTCTCTCTTTCTCTCTCTTACACACACACCCCTCACAAACACGTACCCGCTGTGAATCCAGTATCTCTCCCATACACACATAACTGTGAGTCCAGTATCTCATACACACCCACCTTGAGTCCAGCGTCTCTCTCATGCACACCCACTGTGAATTTAGCATCTCTCTCACACATACCCACTGTGAGTCCAGCATCTCTCACACACCCACTGTAATTCCAGCATCTTTCACACTTCCTGAGTATGATCCCTTTCTCTCTCTCCTCCACCTCCCCCCACCTCTTCCTCTCTCCCTCACACACACCCGCACACCTTGGCAGTGGGGGCTATTGTGTCTGTTCTGTGTGGGGTACACCTGAGTCTGAGGTCATTAGATTAGTTTCAGCAACTCACAGTGCAGGTTTTTGAATAAATTATCTGCTTTTCTCAGACAAAATTGAACTAATATTGTATTTGTTTAAGTGTGTAGCATAATGAGTTGAGCCGAGTTAGTCTCCATGTTACTGTTTCTCAGAAACTCCTTCGGTTGGCAAGTTATTAAGCAGGGAAGCATACTATTTCCTAAGTGTGGATCCAAATTAAGTGTCTACATATTTGGGAGAATTTAGTGTGACTCTGAAATAGAATTCTCAAAAAAACCTTGAGTGGTAAGACTAGAGAAATTTGCTGTTTTATTTTTTTGTTTGGTATTTTCATTTAGGAGACTTAGAAGCATTTAGAAAAATTAAAATATTTCAGCATAGTAAGAACATTTAAGTTTATATGTGCTTGTCAAGTAGTCCTACAGTTAACCTATAATTATAGGTTATTATAAAATCCTTCTTTTTAGAGTTAGGTTAGTTTTAGTTCCTGTACAAAAGATTTCCTGATCCTTTATGTTTCAAAATCACCAAGATCTTTACTTCGAATTAAACACCAAAGTTTTCCATCCTAAATTATAAAAGTTGTTGGGAGACGTTTTGAAAGAGTAAGAATTTGATATGAGTTTCTCAGATAACTGGAATAGGAGACACGTGCCTCTTGGTTGTGTTTCTCACTTTGAAAATACTGGTTTGAAGTTATTTTAGGATTTGGCACCTGTTTTGCCCATGCCTGCAGCCCAGCCACAGAAGCCGGGAGCTTTCCCTACGAGGAGGCGGCTAGGACAAGAAGCTGGAGGTTGTGTTTTCCTGGCTGCTTTGAGAACTTCTGTTTTAAGGAACCCATTTTAAAGTATGTGTGGCAAGTAGTTGGGGAGCAGTCAGGAACTTGATCTAGGCTTAGTGCAGTGTCAGCCTTCTGTGGCTGCTGGTGTCTTAAGTGCATTTCCCGTGGTCCTGAATGGTCATTGTACTTTAAATCCACTGTAAACTCAAGTTGTCACTTTTTTCCTTACTGTGTTTGGGGGCATATCTAGCTGTACTCAGGGAGAACCCCCGTTGTGGTGTTGAGGTTCCTTTGAGGAATTCGAGCTCAAACCCAGGTCCCTCACAGGCACATTAGCCCTTTGAGCTCTCACCTTCATTCTTGTCCTGAGCATGGATCAGTATGCCTTTGGCAGAAGCAGCACCGTTCGCTTGTAGGTGGAGATTTTGTTAATGCATTTTCCTGTAGGCGCACAGAAGTGCTTACATTACTGGTGGCGTTCCCCCTGTCTCATGCTCCGCCACGATTGATTGGACATTTATTTAGTACAGGAAGCCTTTGCAGCACTTTCACAACTTCTTTCTAGCTGCTGTCACCTTTGTCCTTTTGAGTGCCGGACCTTTGAGTAGTAAGTGCTCCAAACATTGACAGCTTACTAGGTGTGAACCTAGTGGAGACACTATTTAAGAGCAGCAGCCTGCAGTTGTTAAGGTCCTGCTCCCAAGGAAGCTGCTGGTTAGCTGAAATGAAACACATGTGGGAAGTGTAAAATACAGGCTGTCAGACCAGAGAGATGGTACAGCAGCAAGGCACCTGGTTTGCACAGAGCTGACTTGGGTTTGCTCCCTGGCACCACACATTATCCCATAAGCACCGCCACAGGTAAACCCTAAGCACTGGCAAGTGTGGCTTTGACACATATATGGGCCATCATACTGTATTATAGTAAATCTTTTTTTTTCTCTTAATTTGATTAGGCAGTAAATCTGATAGCTGTTAAGTGGGATCCTAAGGAAGATGTCTCTGACTTCTCTGTGTGTTGGAGACCTCTTAAGGGTCATGTCAGAGTTTTGCTGATGGCCACACAACTAAAGTCTGCTCATACATTGCTCCTACAAGGACAGATGGGCTCATGAGAAAGCAAATGACTGCTTTCCCCAAACTATAACTTAATCAGAATACAATCAGTTAAAAACAATAAGCAGAGGGGCTGGAGCGATAGCACAGCGGGTAGGGCTTTCGCCTTACAAGCGGCCAACATGGCTGACCCGAGTTCGATTCCTTCGCCCCTCTTGGAGAGCCCGGCAAGCTACCGAGAGTATCTCGCCCGCACGGCAGAGCCTGGCAAGCTCCCCGTGACGTATTCGATATGCCAGACACAGTAACAACAAAAGTCTCCAATGGAGACGTTACTGGGCCCGCTCGAGCAAATCGACGATCAACGGGAGGGCCTTTACCTTTACCTTTACCTTTTACTGATAGAAAAGAAGTGGGCTAAGTTGGCAGTTAATAGAAGCTTAGTTAAGTATGGGAAAACCATTCCTACTAGTAGTTAAGATAGATTTTTGTTTTGTTTTGGGGCCACACCCAGTGGCGTTCAGGGCTTACTCCTGAACTTTGCACTCAAGGTTGGGGACCATGTGGGATGCTGGGAATCGAAACCGGTTGACTGCATGCAAGGCAAGCACCCTACTTGCTATGCTATTGCTCCAGCCCCAAGGATGTGGCTATTAAAGAGTCTCCTGTCCTCTTGGGGCCAGGTATACAACATCCGTATTATACAATAGGTATGCAACATCCTTGTGCACTATGGCATATTCTTGCTGGGGGGTGACTTAGAAGACTCTACACATACTTTGCATGTAGGGTCAGGATTTGGTCCCTGGAACCACACAGTTGCCCAAGCACCTCTGGGTGAGACCCCTAAGTACTGCCATGAGTGTAGTCCCTGAGCACTGCCAGGTGTGGTCCAAAAACAAAAAAAAGGGGAAGCTTTCTTACCTAGTATTAGTATGAAAATTGACACATTCTTCCTAAGGGAAATTGGACAGTATGTCAAAACTTGGGGCTTTGTGCAATTCTAGGGAGCCCATCAATTCTAGGGAGTCATAGAAATTATCATATGTGAAAAAACTACAGGTATAAAGATGTTTGTAGGACATCTTTATATTAATGTGTGTGAGAGGGAGGAATGGTTTCTAGGGAAAAACTATGTCCTTGCAGTTTTTGTTTTTTTTTTTTTTTTGCTTCCCAGCTGGTACTCATGAAGTGCTGGGCCCCTGCAGACAACTACAGTGGCCTCTGGGGATTCTCAGGGCACCATGTGCTGAGAATCAAACCCAGTTGGGCATAAGCTTGGCATATACCCTAACCAGCCTTTGCAGTTGGTTTTTTTTCTTTTTTTGTGGGGTGGGGGGACGGGAGTGAGAGGTTGCTTTTGGTCTGGGGAACAAACAAACACTCTTGGTTCTGTGCTCAGGGATCACTCCTGGCAGTACTCAGGAGACTAACTGTGACTGTGCACAAGGCAAGTACCTTACTTGCAGACTATTGCTTTGGCCATTCCATGCAGTTTTTATAATGAAACTTGTAAGCAAACCAGTTTTCATTAATGGAGGGCTGAATATATGTTGGTACTTTTACACAGTGGACCACTATGCAGACTTTAAAACAAATGAACTAGAAATACTAACAAGGGAAGATAAATATGAGATAGAAGCTAAAAAAGCAAATCATAAAATCAAAACATATTTCTCTGTTTTGAGGGGCAAATAGCAATACCATAAAGAGAAGGGAATTGTAAGAAACCTAGAAAGATGAACTTAAAATGGAGGTAGAAGGTGTGCTTAAAGGTCACTGCTCCAGGGATTGGAGCCATAGTACAGCTTGCTTGCATGTGGCTGACCCGGGTTTGATCCCTAGCATCCTGTATGATTCCCTGAGCATTGTAGGGTTTAGCTCCTACATTCCCCCCGCCCCTCCCCCCAAGCAAAAAAGAGATTCCTCGGTATGCTCAGAGAAATAATTCTGTGAGAATTTGTTACCTGATAGCCTTCTGGAGCTTTGTTTTCAGGATAGAGAAATTAACCTTGGGAATGTCTCTGGTTCAGTTGTAGATTTTCCCTCTAGAAGGAGGTCACTGCCCCTTGCCTGTCTTCAGCTAGGATCTCTGACCTTCCTCTCAAGATGGACTGTATTTCCAGCTTCTGTCTTTTGTTTTTTCAGTTTTTAGGGCCACTCCTGCTAGCGCTCAGGGACTCGCACAGTGCTGAGACTTGAACCCAGGATGGACTTCTGCATGCTATAAGCTTGTGCTCCAGTCCTCTGACCCATCTTCCTGGCCCCGGTTGGTTTGTTTGTTTTAAAGGCAGAAGCTGCTGCTTTTATTAACTGGATTCCAGACCAGAGAGGCTTGAGTAGCACCTTGGAAGCGCCTCAGATGCTCAGCATGGCTGCTTCTGCACCCTGTCAGTGCCAGGAAACTAGCTTCAGGGCCACACACTGCTGCTCGGGCCACTGACTCTCACCCACCCTTAGGCTATAGTGGATTAGGGCAGCGCCCAGAGCACATGGTCTGCTTGGACAATAGTATGACTATGTGCTAGAAGTTGTCTCAAAATCCTACAAAATGATCATTTATCCGATTCCATGAGAATAAAATGCATTCTATTTGATTTCATTTGTTGTCTCAGCATGTTTTCTTTGCTCTGCTGTGTATTGGCCCCCGTAGCACAGAACGCCCAAATGACTTCGACTTATAGAGACCTGGGTGTCTACAGGTGTGAGGCACAGCAGGCTCCCAGACTGTCAGGGTTGGATTTTGTAAGTACTGTATCAGGAGCAGCATGTGTGAGGCAGATCCCGTTGTTCTATAGCTGCTGAGTGAATCAGCAGCACCAAGGGAGATGGATTGTCTTCAGAGATTTGTCAGATTGCCAAAGGCCTGTCTGGCAAAGGGGAGCATAATAGTGAGAAGCTGTCCCTGGATTTGATTTATAGGAATACTGAAAGGACAGAATTCCCAATCTGCTTGCTACTGAAATCTCCTTTGATAAAACCTTGACATCAAGGTTTGCCCATCACATGTTTCCTTTACTGTGTTTGTTTTATTTGGGGGCCACACCCACCAGTGCTCAAGCAAGGCAAGTACCTTATCTGCCAAACTATCCCTCTGGTCCCTCACATCTTTTGGTTTGTTTTTGGGGCCACACCTGGCTATGTTCAGGGACTACTCCTGTTTCTGTTCTCAGAAGTTACTCCCAGCAGGTGATCAGGGACTCTTCTAGACCAGGCATTGAGCCTGGAGATCCTACATGCAGATCATGTTCTCTAGCCCTTTGAACTGTGTTCCTGGCCCCTCAACTTTATATTTAAAAGATAGAAAAGAGGGGCTGGAGCAATAGCACAGCGGGTAGGGCATTTGCCTTGCACATGGCCAACCCGGGTTCTATTCCCAGCATCCCTTATGGTCTCCTGAGCACCGCCAGGGTAATTCCTGATCGCAGAGCCAGGAGTAACCCCTGTGTGTCGCCGGGTGTGACCCAAAAAGCAAAAAATTTAAAAAATTAAAGATCGAAAAGAAGGGTTGGCGCAATAGTACAGAAGGTTGGGCATTTGCCTTGCACATGGGTGATTCCTATGTTTATCCCCAGCACCCCATATGTCCCCAGAGTCTGCCAGGAATAAACCCTGAGCATTTGTTTTTGGGCCACTGGGTGTGGCCCAAAATCAAACCTTTTTTTTTTAAAGGAACATATATATATGTGTGTGTGTGTATATATACACACACACACACACACACACACACACACACACATATAAACATGAATCATATAGGAAATAAACTGAAAATTGATCTCTTCAGGCATGTGAACTGCATGTGAACTCCGCTTTCTCCAAGTCTGTCTTTGCTCTCTCTCTGAGTGCTCCATATCAACCATGTGTCCTTTGCAACATTGCTACTAGAGTACACAAATTTTCCTTTTATTGGGGCAAAACAAAAGGAGCAGAAGTCCTGATTAGCTCTGCAGTTAACCAAGACTGGGTTACTGCTGGTGGGTGCAGGAGAATCCCTTTCTGTACAGGTGTTTGTGAATAGGTTGGAGCTGCAGTCATTCATACATAAAAAAGCAACATTGTTACATCTAGGTTTTTAGATGTTCCAGCTATAAGGTTGTTTTGTAAATTCACAACAATGGAATATCCACATTCTGGAGGAGTGTGGGTGCAGTTCACATTTCTGCTTAAATGCATTCTTGCTAAGATGTCCTGTGTGAAGTTTGCCATGAGGGTGGGTGGCTTCAGACTCTAGACAGACTTGAGTCTCTTTCGCTTTCTTTTTTTGGTTGTTGTTTATTGGGCCACACCAGACATTGCTTAGGGTGCTACTCTTGGCTGGGTTGCTCAGGGGACCGTGTGCCTAGGATCAAACCAGGGTGACCTGCACTCAAGCAAGCATTTGTTGCATTGAATTTTCTCGCCAGCCTGACTTCAGTTTTCTTAATGAATTTACTTTCCAGCATTTGAAAACTTTAGTTCACATCTTTTTTCACATAAATATTTGATCAAATATAGATGTAAGAAAAGTAGACATGCTACATGACTGAAATAAGATCTCGGAGCTGAAACGACGTTCATGTGAGCTGTTTTGGTCCACTAGTGTTGGCTTTAGTAAGTCACTTGGCCAGAGTAATAGTAAGAAAAGTTGTTAAGAGCTTCCCAGCAGTGTACAGGCTTACTCCTAGCTTTGCACACAAAAATAAGGCTTAGTGAGCTCGGGGGACCATATGCGACGCCGGGAATCAAACCTGCATCAACTGCATGTAAGGCAAGCACCCTGTACTGTATGGTCTCTCTGACCACTGAAACAGCTTGGTTTTAGTCATCCCAGAATTTGGTTTTTGACCCTGGAGCCCCCTTCCCAGTGTTCAGTACTCAGTGTTTCCTAAAGAATGAATCATGGAGGGGCTGGAGTGATAGCACAGCGGGTAGGGCATTTGCCTTGCACGCGGCCAACCTGGGTTCGATTCCCTGCATCCCATATGGTCCCCTGAGCGCAGCCAAGAATAATTCCTGAGTGCATGAGCCAGGAGTAACCCCTGTGCATCGTCGAATGTGACCCAAAAACCAAAAAAAAAAAAAAAGCGAAAAAGAATGAATCATGGACTGTTTCAAGATGTATCTGATAACCTCCTTTTGTTTCTTTAGGTATATCTGGGAAAAGCCAGCTTCTCTTTGCACTGGTCTTCACTACCCGTTACCTGGATCTTTTTACTTCATTTATTTCATTGTATAATACATCTATGAAGGTATGATATGGTGTCTAAGAGAATGTATTTTATCCATAATTCTTTGGTTTATGGAAATTGTTGAAGACCAACTGTGTATTTGAAAATTTTCAATAATAATGTGGGGGATAGGGAGGTAGCTGAAAGGACTGGAGCACTGCGCCTACTTGCAGTTCCAGATTCAGTCACCAGTACTTTTTGTGGGGGGTGAGGGGTTGGGGCTCTTGGTGCCATACTGGTGAGAATCAGGGTTATTCCTGGCTCTGCACTCAGGGATCACTCCTGGAAGTCCTCAGGGGACCATATGGGGTTCCAGGGATTGAACCCAGATCAACTATGTTCAATAGGAGGGCAGGCACCCTCCCCACTGTCCATCTCTCTGGCCCCCAGTCTGCAGTACTATGTGTTCCCCTCCCCAGGGTGTATTGGGCCTGGAGCAGTCAAACTTCCAGCCCAGGTAGGCATATAACCCCACAGGTATATTTTGGGAGACCATATATCCCTTACAAGCATCCCAAAAAAGATGATTAGATATCTTTTTTACTCCAGTGCTTTTAGACCACTTTATACATGTATCAAGGAAAATTGTTACTGTTAAATGTTTTGTTACAAAGCAATTTCTCTAAGATTTAAGGATGTGCTGCTTGGGAACCTGTATGGGTTTAGGGTATTGAACCTGAATTGGCTGCATGCATGGCAAAGACCCTACCCACTGAACCATTGCTCCAGCCCATACCACCAAACATCTTGATGGTGCATGCTCCAAATCAGGGAAGTCGTTGGCTTCTTCACACGGTCCTTTATCCCAGCCTTACTGTACTGAATGTCCCAGGCCAACACTTGCCCAGTTCCAAGAGGAGGCAGAAGACAAAGGAGGGTATTTGTTTTTGTTTTGGGGCAGGACATGGTGATGCTCAGGGCTTACTCATGTCTCTACACTCTGGGATCACTCCTGGTGGAACATGGGGAGCCAGAGATTGAACCCAGGTCTGCTGTGTACAAAGCATCACCGTACTGGCTAAAACGTTGCTCTAGCCCAACAAACAGAATCTGGTATGCAAGAATACACTTGTCACTCGTAGTACCAAACAGATGACTGTCATTTGACACAGGTGCCATGAAGGAAAGCTGAGGGACTCTCAGGATATGAACTGAATATGGCTTCTTTTTTTCCTTTTAGGGTTTGAGAGTTGGGAGGGGTGGGGGTGCAGGCACACCCAGCAGTGCCCAGGATGGCCCTTAGTGTGTTTGAAGGATCAGTGCCAGGGGTTTGAACTGGGGTCAGAGGGATGCAGGCCAGCCCTTTAAACTTTGTGTTATGGGGCTGGTGTGATATTACAGCAGGTAAGGAGGATTTGCCTTGCACAAAACCAACCTGGGTTCGATCCCCCGAGTACCACCAGGAGTAATTCTTGAGTGTAGAGGCAGGAGTAACCCCTGAACATCACTAGCTGTGATCCCCCCACACCCACCAAAAAAGGGGGGGGAACCCTCTATGTTATGTCTCTTTCCCCAACTCTGATTCTCTTTCATTTATCCTACAAATAAATGCTTACTGGCACTTTTATGGGACTTGGTTGTTGACTTCATTACTAAGCCATGGAAGCCTAGAATTAGGAAGTAATTTGCTTACTTGCAAATGACTAGGTTCATTGTCCAGGAAAGTTAAAACTGCACTTATTCGGGACCTGGAGAGAGAAGTAGGGTAAGGTTCTTACCTTGCATGTTTCCTACCCTGGTTTAAATCCCTCGCACTAGGTCTGGAGAGATTTGAATTTCTCCAGGGCATTTACTATGCACACAGACAACCCAGGTTCAATCCCCATCACCCTACATGGTCCCTCACACCCTGTCACGAGTGATCCCTGAGCACAGAGCCAGGACTGAGCACTGGGTGTGGTCCTAAAACCAAACAAAAATAAATTCCCAGGGACTTAGTCCCTCAAGCACAGCTAGTGATAGATCCTGTGCACAGAGTCAAGACTTTCCAAGTGCCTCTGGAGGTGGCCCTAAAACCAGAAGAAAATAAAAAATAACTGCAGATACTCAAAATGCATGAACAGGGTGCCCCTTCCTTCTGGTATGCCTGTCTTTCAGGGGAGCCTGGCTTGTTCTGGTTCCTCTGACAAAACTAAATTAGAGGAGTGAGAGCCAGGGTGTATGGACTTGTAGCTCTGGTTTAATTACCAGCCACTCTGAATACCAGTGAGGAAGAAATTGGCCGCTGACCTGGGGTCTTCTCTCGCTTCCAGCTGATCTACATTGCCTGCTCCTATGCTACCGTGTACCTGATCTACATGAAGTTCAAGGCAACCTATGACGGGAATCACGACACCTTCCGAGTAGAGTTTCTGGTGGTCCCTGTGGGAGGCCTCTCATTTCTCGTTAATCATGATTTCTCTCCTCTGGAGGTGAGTGAGGTGGTTAGTGGGTACATCTGGTTCCCTGGGCAAATACACCTGTTTGCGGTTAATGTGGAGGTGGTTCTGTTTTGTTTGTTTTTGAGCAGGCAAACTTCTGGTATAATATATGCTATTTAGTATAAAGAAATTATGAACAGGAGGTATTTGGGTGTGCCTACTCATAGGTCACTGCTGAGCTCTCTGGCAATAAACTTAGCTTGGATGGTAGTTGATGGTACCCTGCTCACCTGAGTGTTGGAAGAATGTGCTCTTCTCCCCACTCTTGGTTCTCTTCATGCCTGGGCATTCCACATCCTTACCGTGTCTGGATCCTGCACTGGTGGTGCACTCCTTGGCATTACCAAAAGCAGTTTGCACAGCCCTGGTTCTTTGCATTGCTGTGGCCAGCTTCCAGCTGCTCTTCCTTCCCTGTGATTCCATCCTGGGTTTGGTTTGAAGGGTACAGGGGCTGCCAGTCCTTCTGTCGTCAGTGGGACTAAACTGCCATGTTGGGCAGAGAATTTACATAATTACAACTCTAATTTCTTACCCCTTTGATTGAACCACATCAAAAGGGAGTAGAGACTGGAAAATGGGAAGAATATTTAGGTGGTTTGGAAAGAATTTTGGTAAGGGAAACAGCAATGAAGGAGTTCAAGAGACCTGATGATCAGTATTGAGAGCCTGGCAGAGGATTTGGAAATGTACCCAAGTTCACAGGAGAACTAGATGATCTAGGAGAAACCTTTGTGGAGATTCTCAGGAATCCTGAGACCTGAGAGAGAAGGTGATGACTGCTGGGAGAGGCCCAGGTGGCTGGGTTCCCTGGTCCCTATCAGGAGGGCCTTACCTCTTGTGACTTCACTTCTGTGATCACCGTATTGCACAGCTGCCCACTCTGCTGCTCCACTGTGGGGGGCATTTCACTCTGAGCTCACCACAGGCCCTGATGCTGACAGCATCCCATTTTCCTGGCAGATTCTGTGGACCTTCTCCATCTACCTGGAGTCAGTGGCCATCCTTCCCCAGCTGTTCATGATCAGCAAGACAGGGGAAGCGGAGACCATCACCACCCACTACCTGTTCTTCTTGGGCCTCTACCGCGCTTTGTATCTGGTCAACTGGATCTGGCGCTTCTACTTCGAGGGCTTCTTTGACCTCATTGCTGTGGTCGCTGGAGTTGTCCAGACAATTCTTTATTGCGACTTCTTCTACTTGTACATCACAAAAGGTATGTTGGGCCACATCCCACACCACCACCACCGTACTGTGTCCTTTTCGTCGTTTTCCGAGACTGTCTCTAGCTCATAAAGTAGAGCAGGTGGTCAAAAGAGTTGTCTGTTTTAGGGGTGTGTATGTGTGTATGATGTTGGGATGGAAACCAGGGATTGAATATATACAAGGCACATTACCACTGAGCCACAGCCAGGACCCAGAGTCTCAAAATTTTGTATTAGGGTTTTCAGTCTATCTTTTCCTTTTCTTTTGCCTTATTATTTTCCTCCTGTGGTAACTTTCCATTATGAAAAGTTCACGAAGAACTGATTGTTGGCCAAACAGGTAGTATAGGGGTAAAGACATTTGCCTTGCATGTGACCAACCCCTGTTCCATCCCTGGCAACACATGTGGCCCAAACACTTCCAGGTTTTTTTTTTTTAATTTTTTTGCTTTTTGGGTCACACCCTGCAATGCTCAGAGGATTACGCCTGGCTCTGCACTCAGGAATTACTCCTGGCTATGCTTGGGGGACTATATGGGATGCTGGGTATTGGACCCAGATCGGTCACATACAAGGCAAATGCCCTACCCACTGTAACCCCCCACCCCCCATTTTAAAAATCTACTAATTTGGAAAGCAGTCTTCCTGAAATATTACTAGTCAAGATTATCATTGTTAATGTTTCAGTAAACATAGTTCCAGGCAGAGGAAATAGCTTCCAGGGCTGAGCACATGTCTGGTATATACAAGGTCCTGAGGCCAATCCCCAGTTCCCACAGTCCTCCAGGTACCACTGGGTGTCATCCTGGTCACCCCCAGCACCACTGGACCTGTGCAGCATTGCATTGCCAGAGCCAGGCATTCAGCCACCAACCCAGTGACTGAGGATCTCTGGCTCTAGCCCTGAGCACTGCTGGGAGGCCCCAGATTCTTCTCTGCATATGCAAATACATGATTTTAACTGTAGGTGCTATTTCATATACTGCTTTTTCCCCTACATTCACATTTTTTTCCTGTCAATAAACAGAAATCATTATTTTTTTGTGGTCACAAGAGTATTTTCTTATGTGTACTACTAGAATTTACTGACCTGCCCTCTCTTCAGGGGCATTTAGGCTATAGCTGCTTTATTTTTATTAAAAATCCAGAGCTAGAGGGGCCAGAGCAATAGTACAGTAGGTAGGACACTTACCGTAGGAGTAAGCCCTGCATACTGCTGGGTGTGACCCCCCAAAAACAAAAACAAAACAAAAGCAACCATCTCTATTAAATCATGACAGCAGTATTAAATGACTCCTGGTCCCAGAGTTTGTTTCCTTGTGTCTTACCATGTAGTATTTGTGTAAAACAGACTTCCAGGAATGGGAAGAAGGAAACTGTCAGCTTGTCAACATCAGTAACTTGTTTCTCTTCCTCTCTTGAATTCTAGTCCTCAAGGGAAAGAAGCTCAGTCTGCCAGCATAAGTGCCAGCGAACATCCCCAGCATCTGTCCTTCAGGGTGCTCGGACAGAATTCTTACCACAGCAGAGGCACAAGATGCTTGAGACAGAAAAGCAGAAACTTCACTCTTTGGTTGCAGATAGTCATCCGTGGCTCTGGAAGAACCCAGACAAAAAAGAACCAGAAGGTTTCTGTTTTATGCATCTTGCCTTATCTTTTTTTATTACTATGTACAAAGATTTTTTTACACAAAGAAACCTAATGCTGTATTAATAAATCCAGTGTGTAGCTTCAATTGGGGTAGTCCTAAAAGTGAAGATTTGTGAGGAATAAGTGCAAACTTTTTTTAATTCTTTGAAATGATTGATTTTTCTTCTGTGTCTGCAATGAAATTATATTCCTTGACAGTTGGTAGATTACATATTCTTTCATCTATCAAACTTGCATTCCTCTATATTTATTTTATTTTATTTTACCAAAAAGCAAAGTTATCTTGTTTGCATCTGAGACACACTACTTTCCATTTGGAATCTCCGTCCTAGTATCTCCTCCCAGGGGCGTCCTGTGAGGATGTCACTACACTACGTTTCCAGCTGTCAAGAGCACTTCCAAGTCTCCAGCTTTTCTCGACCAACATTTAGAATCTCAATGTAGATGGCGTCTCATTTCAGTGTCACCAAAGGTGCCTGCCCTACTCCCCTGCTAAGCAGTGTCAGTTTGAGTCTGTCCCAAGCTTGTTGGAAACATTTAATTGTGGGAAGCCATCTTGCATGTGGGTCTTTAGGAACACGTTGATGATTTGGGTTTAGGACTCTGTTCCCCCAGGAAGGGAACATAAGTTGTGACTTGAATTTACAGTCTGAAAAGATTACTGCAGCCATGTCCATGCTCAGACTCAAAATGCTTTTCTTAACACTTCTGGGTAGTACGATTGACATTTTTCTTTCATCGCAGCACCAATTGCCATTCCTTATGCTCTTATTTTTTGTTGTTTTGACTGAGCTCTTGCATGATTTATCTTGTGTTACCATCCCAAATAAACATTTTGTTAAACATAGAATTGTCTTTTTCATGAATTAGGCTTTTGAAACATCCTGTATCAGGATGATTCTTTTCTCAATTGGCAATAAAAGTTCTAGGGAAGGAGCTGGAACGATAGCACAGTGGGTAGGTTACTTGCTTTTGCTTGCCTTGCACACAGCCAACTGGGTTTGGGTTTGATTATGGCACCCCATAAAGCTCCCCAAGCCCTACCAGGAGTGATTCCTGAGCTCTGAGCCAGGTGAGTCTTGAGCACCGCTGGATGTGACCCCAAAACAAAAAGCTCTGGAGGGCTGCAGAACATTTGTTTAGTTATCTGAACCTGTCTTTTGTAGGGAAATTGACACTATCCTGGTTTTGCCATTGGATTGATTTTGACTACATTGTTTAATACAAAAATAGATGACTTGTTTCTTATGTGGGGCACTATTGACTTTAAAGTGTTGGATGCTGACAGTGCTTACTAAAGGAGTAGTACGCTTGCTTGCTGCACTCAAGTACCTTGTGGTGAGCCGAGTAGGATTCATTGTTCCTGGTCTTTGTTAGGAGATGTAACCACACCCTCATGCGCTTTGGACTCCGCTCCCCAGGAGTGGAACATAAATTACTGTTTGTGACTTGAATTTACAACCCCAAAAGATTACTGCAGCCATGTCCATGCTCAGACTTGGGCGTTTCTCCTTGACTTGCAGCACCAGTCCCCAGTCTCCTTCACTCACATCACTTTCCTCCCTGTTTTCTGGTTTCTGTATTTTCATCCTCCTCAGAAGATTCTGAGTGTGTGCAGGAAGGCTGGGAAATCCTTCCTGAGACCAGGGGGAGTAGCTCACGCCTCTTTTGTGCATGTCAGTCAAACCCAAGCTGGGCCCATGCATTGGAGAGCACGGTGCATCCAAGGAGCTGGAACCTCCGCATGAAGAACCCCTGCCTTCTCCAGTTGCTCCACCCAAGACACCACGATCATTCGCAGCCTGTCAGGACAGTGTCTAAACGAACAGTGTGCCTGGGTGTGAGTGTGGGGCCGGCCAAGTCCTCAGCACACGGTGCACGCCTGCTGCAAGAAGCACTGGTTCAGTTATTTTCACATCCTCAATAAAGATTATCAGGTAAATCTTTTTATGGAGTTCTTCCGTTTGTGTGGAAGTCTTTCTAATGTCAGCACAAAGAAATAAAGCGAAGTTATGAAGTGATAACTTCATGAAAAGCTGTGTGTAAATCCTGCCCCTTGAGTCTTCAATCACGTTTCCTTCTTCTTGCCACTTGATCAAGAGAGGAGTTGAGGAAAACGGGGAGTGAAAAATCAACTCATGGGTGGAAAGGCCTTGTAGAGAACATACATCCCTGCCTGTCAGTGCCAGAACCAGGAAACTGGACAGTTCCTGTCAAGGTCAAACAAGGATCCATAGAAATCCTCAGTTGATTGGGGCCAGGGTCATAGGACAGCAGGGAGGGTTTGCCTTGCATGCAGCCAAGCAGGTTCCCATATGGTCTGAATGCAGAGCCAGGAGTAAGCTCTGAGCACGGCTGGGTGTGATCCATTCTGGGCTTTGGGAGTAGACTCGGGAGTCTAGCCTCTTGCCAGATCTCTGGATTCCAGCCTGGTCTGAATAGGAGTTACCTGCTCTATTATCCTAACAACCTCATTTGCTTCTTTAAGAACTATTTTTTGACTTGGACAAAAAGATTTTTTTTAATGTTTTAAAGCAATATATATTTGGTTTGGGGGCCACATCTGGCAGTGCTCAGGGGTCACTACTGTCAGTGCTTGAGGGACCATATGCAGTGCCAGGGATCAAACTGGGTTTGGCTTCGTGCAAATTAAGTGCCTGAATCCCCCTCTGCTGTCTTAAAAAAAAAAAAAAAAAAACCTTTAGTAAGGTGAATATACTTGGCATTTCATATGATGGAATAAGGCCTAACTTAGCCAGTGGTATATTATCTGGAAATGGCAGAATACACTTGCAGTGATTAGAAATAAACTGCCTTGCATATGTGAGGCCCCCCTTTCAACCCTGGAACCAAAACAAAAACTCCAAAATACAGGTACTTAACCACTACCACTACCTTAGCTGTGCGTGGTGGTGGTTTTAAGTTCACAATATCCTTCTTACTAGGAAAAGCCAGGATAGAACCTGGCCTACGTGCAAGGCAGTTTATATCTCTAACGGGTTGTTTATCTCAGGCTGCAATCACATTTCCCTTTTGTTTTTGCACCACACCCTGCAGATGCTCGGGTTACTCCTGGCTTTGCACTCAGGAGTGTTTGACACACACCCTTGGCAGTGCTTGGGGTGCCCTGGCTCGCTGTTCTCTCCCCTGCCCTATGCTGTTCCTAGAACCATTACCTCAGCCCCAAGCAACACAAGTGTGTCTTCACTTTTGTGGCCATTCTCCAGCCCCCCAAATCTTGCCATTTAATGAGTTTGTCATAGAAGTATGTAACAGGACTCTTGGACTCTGCAGAGCGCGAGTGGGACAGACAGCCCATGCCCTGAAGGTGGGCGGTGAGCGAGAACGTTGGTGATATGGTACCACAAATTGCACTTTGAAAACAGGTCGGGGGACGGGAAAGGACTGGGTTGCTCTGTTGGCTCAGGTGGCCGGCCCAGGGTGGGGAGGGGGGGACGCCTTTCCGGGAGGCAGTGACACAAGTTGAGGCCCGCGGGCAGCAAGTGACCAGGAAGGACTTTGAGCAGAGACACCCCCGGACCTTCGAGGAAGCTGGGAAGGAAAAAGCCTCGCCCGCCGCTGAACAAAGCGGCGCGAGCAAACCGCACTCATCGGAGCACGGGGGGGGCGGGGGGGGGAGTCCCGCCGACCTGGCATACCCCGGAGCCCCGCCATCGACTGTCGTGGGCCAGCCTGAACCCTGGGGGCCTCCACCGGAGCCTTCCGTGCCGGCCGGTCTGCGCAGGCGCGCGGCCCGGGAGCCCAGTGCGCCTGCTCCCGTCTCGGCCCGCGCGTGCGCCCGCGGGGACTCGGGTCAGTTTGGCCGCGGGCGCGGGCAGCGCGCGGGGCTCCGAGTGGACGCGGGCGCGTGGGGGCTGCCCGGGACCGGGCGGCGGGCCTTCGCCATGCCCGGGATGGTGCTCTTCGGCCGGCGCTGGGTCCTCGCCAGCGACGACCTGGTGTTCCCGGGATGCTGCGAGCTGTGCCTGCGGGTGCCGTGGTGAGCGCGGCGGGCTGCGGGCGGGCGCCGGGTGCTCCCCGGCTGGGACGCGGGTGTGTTTCTCCCCGTCTCCCGGCTGGCAGACTGAGGCCCAGAGCGCGGACACTGCTCGGGGGATTCGGCTGGGCCCGGGGGATGATGGGGGGTTGCACGGGCCGGAGAGGAGTCGCGCACTTGGGCATGAGCCCTCCCCGCTTGGACGCGCTGGCGCCTCCTCGCTCGTCCACCGAAAGCCACGGTCTGGCCTGTCATCCCCGGCGCCGAACACCCGGCACCTGCGCCCAGAACTCGGGCCGCGAAGCCACGGTTGCCGGTGGCGGGAGGCCGGATCCGGGAGAAACCGACAGGCCTGGCCTGTGCCTGACTCTCGTGTGCCCGGAGTCGGGGCGACGCAGAAGGTCCTTAGCAAAAACTCAAATCTTGGGGAGAAAGGAACAGAAGAACAGGAAGTGAAAGAGTTTCTCCCTTTCATCGCAAGCTCTTTCGGAGATCGTTTCCCTTTAATATTTTTAGACAGAGGCATGAGATCCTAAATTTGCCGTAAGCACCCAAAAGTGATCTAGTCCAGTTTCATTTCTGTTTTTATTTTGGGAACCAAGGTGCAGCCATGCTCGGGGCTGACTCCTTGGCGGCACTTGGAAAGGCCATATGGGGTGCCAGGATCGAAACCGGGTTGGGGGCATTCAAGGCAGTGCTCAGCTGCTAGCCCCATGTTTCTGGTCCCCAGTTTCACTTTTGGACTGGAGTCTTGGATGCATTGATTTTACCAAGTGGTGCCCAGCTGTTTGCAGAAATACCTCAGTTCCTTGGCACTGTTTGATGGTATCGCTCATTATGACCTCGATGAAGAAATGTGTGTATGCGCCCCCCACGGCCTGTGTGTGGGGTTTGTCAACACCCACCGTGGAACATCATTGCTGGGGTGTTGGCTTCAGTTTGTTTGGTTTTCAATTTGGGGCCACACCCAGCGATGCTCAAGGATTACTCCCGGCTCTGCACTCAGGAATTACTAGTGGCGGTGCTCGGGGGATCCTATGGGATGTTGGGGAGCAAACCCATGTTGGCTACGAGTCAGGCAAACGCCCCTCCGCTGTACTGCTGCGCCAACCTCTGTCTTCTGTTTTTTCCCTCTGGGAGTAAAGTATACACGTTAATTGCTCTGCTTCCAGTGGTCAGGAGTGCTCCTGCCTCCCGAAGCTTGGGTGATACTGGCCTCCTGGTGGCTATAGTTGTGCTCAGGTCTCAGAGCGGGCAGACGTGGAAGGGGCAGAGCCTTAGTACAGCAGGGAAAGCATTTGCCTTGCATATGCCAGCCAGAGTTCGATCCCTGGCACCCCAGGAGCAATCCCTGTGCAAAAAGCCAGGAATAGGCCCTGAGCACCATCAGGTGTAGCCGCAAAATAGCAATTAAAAAAAAAAAAAGAACAACCGTGTAAGCATAGAAAGCAAAGACACCAAAGCCAGGGCTGAGCTCAGGGGTACAGCTTGGGCCTTGCGTGTTTGAAGCCTTTGATTCCGCCCACAGGATCCCTCCCCGCCCCAAGCCAAACACACATTCAGTTCTTTTTTTTTTTTTTTTGCTTTGTGGGTGACACCTGCTGATGCACAGGGGTTACTCCTGGCTCATGCACTCAGAAATTACTCCTAGTGGTGCTTGGGGGACCATATGGGATGCTGGGAATCGAACCCGGGTCGGCCGCATGCAAGGCAAACGCCCTACCCGCTGTGCTATCACTCCAGCCCCAAACACACATTCAGTTCTAGTAAATTTGTTTCCATGTATTTTGGGGGCTGGGGGCTCACTCCCAAGCATTGCCAAGACTCAAGACACGGGGCTCCCACTGGCAGAGGCTGAGCTCCCGCCCTTTGGACGGTCTCCCCATCAGTCGCTGTGTGGATGGGGACGGTGACATTCCAGCACACATCCCACCTTGTTCCCGAGAGCCATGGCTGCCTTCGTCCTCCTGAGACTGTGTCGTTTCTCTGCAGGTGGTTCGGCATCCTCAGCCTCTACCTGATGCACAGACGGAAGCTGGACTGTGCGGGGGGCGGCGTGCTCGCTGGCTACCTGCTGGTGCTGCTGGTGCTCCTGGCCATGGTCATCGGCACCCTACTCGCCATCGTGTGCGTCAGCATGAGAGGTAGAAGCTTTCCTCCTCCCTCCTAGGCTTTGGGTGTTTGGGCCCTGCTACTCCTGGCTCTGAGCTGGGGGTGCTGGGGTGCAGGGAACAGGTGCGCTCCGAGTGGTATTCTCGGGGGTTACTCCTGGAAGTGTCAGGGATCCAACCCTTGTTGGCTGCGTGCAAGGCAAATGTCCTCCCTCTGTGCTGTCACCCCTACCCCTGGCCTTGTCCCTCTGACCCCCTACTCTTGCTTTGCTGCTTCCCGGAGAGAGAATCTCATCTCCTATGTGACCCTCCAAGATATGTTCAAATCACCATGTCACTTTGGCATGTCCCAGGCTTCGAAACCATCATCGCGGTCAGTTCAGGACGTTTCAGCATCCCTGGGAAGGATCCTGTCTCCTAGTAGGGAGTCCTCCCAGGACTCCTCGCTCTGCCTCTCTCTAGCTGTGCTCCTCTGGGGTGGCCTTTGGTTCGATCCAACCAGCTGGGTCTTAGGGCAGCCTGTCCTCATGGTGTCGAGGGTCACACACTGGGTGTCGCAGGCGGGGCCGTGGTTAAACTTGGGACCTCGTGCCTGCCAGGTGGGCGCTTTGCTGCTGAGCACGGCCCCTCCAGAGTTGTGGCGACTGGCGGCTCCTCCCCAGTGGGTGTCCTCTGGGTTCTTTATATCTTTCGGAAACAGCCACTCCGAATGTTGACACACGCTTGGGATCTGTGCATCAGAGGGAATTGCGAGAGCATAGGGTAACCCTTGAGACTTTGGGGACCTACCAGATTCCTTCCCAAGCAGCTGCGCAGTTTCCCTGGCCCCCGGCACGCTGACAGGTGTGTCTTCCCCGAGGCTTGACACCTTTGCTTGCAGCCACCCGGTGGGCGGGAAAGAACGTCCTGTGGCACTTTCATTGAGCTTGTTTGTTCGGTCTGGGGCCACTCCAGGTCGTGCTCACAGCTCTGCACTCAGCGATCTGTCCTGGCAGCGATCTGGGTAGCGGGTGTGGCGTCAGAGATTCCAATCAGGTCACCTGTGTGTCGGGGAAGCACCTTCCTCCCTATACTGCCCTTCCCACCCCATTGACGGTGGGTTGGTTTTTGGACCACATCCAATTATCAACACCTGGCGATGCTTGCAGGTGTGGGCTTGGACACATCCAGGGTGGGTTCCTCCGGCCCTGGACTCTCGCTCCGTCCCTCTGCTGGCCGTGGACCATTTGCTCTACCTGTGCCGGTTGTCGGGGGTCACTCACCAACGGCAGCTCTGGGGTGTTGGCGCCTTCCCACTCCATTGCTCTGGCTCCTCGAAGGCCCCTAGCGAAGGAAGATGTTGGCCCAGGAGAGACCCCACTGTGGCCGGGCACACCCACTCGTGAGAGGCCTCCGTGCGCCTCATCAGGCGGCAGGGATGACGGAGCCGGGAAACGGCGGCTCCCGTAACGGGCTGTCTGGGTGGAGAGGCGGGAGTAGGAGGAACACACAGTCTATTTGCCGAGAGTTAGGGGAACAGAAGGCGACTCATCCCATGCATGGCCTGTGCCCTGCTTCCGCCGTACCCACAGGCCGGGGCTTTATGCTCTGTGTCGGCCGACTCAGTCCCCAGGCTTGGCCCTGTGCCCCTGTTTCACTCCTGAAAGCACCAAAGTGTGGGCGGTGATGGGTGATGGGAGGGCTGAGACCCCTGTGGGGTGGGGGTGGGCGTCGGCGGGTCCGTGTCACCAGGTCTTGTGAAGAGCACCCATGCCCGCCGCTGTTGTTTCAGGAACCATCTGTAACCCCGGGCCACGGAAGGCCATGGCCAAGCTGCTCTACCTCCGCCTGGCGCTGTTTGTGCCCGAGATGGTCTGGGCGTCCCTGGGGGCAGCCTGGGTGACAGACGACACACAGTGCAACAGAGTCGTCATCAATGGCATCATTGCCACTGTGGTGGTCAGGTGGGACTGCCCGGCCCCCGGCAAGAATCAGGCAGGACATCGCCCTGGGGGGTTGGGGTCTGGGGTCAGGTCCCCACAGTCCTGGCATCGACCATGTCTGCCATCCTTGCGGGCACCTAAGAAAGAACCCCTCCCCCCCCAAGGGGCAGCAGAGACCCCCTGCAGCGCCAGCCTCACAGCCCTGAGCCCACAGTGCCTGGCAGGGCGGGAGGGTCTGAGCATAGGAAAAGGGGCCTGTCCCTCTCCCTCTCCCTGTCCCGGTCTCTGTCCTGTCTCTGTGCAGTGCCTTCTTCCCGACCCTCTTTCCTGCCCTGCCTGGTGCCAGCGTGTCACCAAGCCCTGCCTCCCCCTTGCAGCTGGATCATCATCGCCTCCACGGCCGTGACCATCATCATTGTCTTTGACCCACTTGGGGGCAAACTGGCTTCTCATCCCTCAATCGGGCCCGAGTCCCTGGACCACCGCGAAGCCAGCCAGTTCTTCACGGGGCTCAGGACAGCGGCAACCAGCATGTGGGAGACGCGGGTGAAGCTGCTGTGCTTCTGTGTGGGCCGTGACGACCAGGCGCGGGTGGCCTTCGCCAGCACGGCCCAGCTCCTGTCCACCTGCTTCTCGGTAAGGCCTTTGTGGGAACAGGGTGGGGCCAGCGGCCCCTGCTCGGCATGCTGGAGCCCCTCACGAGTCTTGCCTGGCTTCGGTTTGGCTCGGGGACACCCCCAGTTGTGCTCAGGGGTCACTCCTGGTGGGCGTGGGGGGCATCTGGACATTGCATGCAAGGCGAGCGTGCTGGCCTCTGTAGCGCCCCCCCACTTCCTATATCTTTTTTTTTTTTTATTTATTGAATCACTGTGGGAAAAATTACAAAGCTTTCAGGTTTTAGTCTTGGTCATGCAATCATCAAACACATTTCCCTTCACCAGTACTTATTTTTCACCACCAAGAAACACTTCCTATATCTTAATCTGTTTAATCATTAAAACTGACTTTGGGGGCTGGAGCAATAGCACAGCAGGCAGGGCGTTTGCCTTGCACGCAGCCAACCTAGGTTTGATTCCCATATGGTCCCCCGAGCACCGCCAGGAGTAATTCCTGAGTGCATGAACCAGGAGTAACTCCTGTGCATCGCTGGGTGTGACCCAAAAAAAAAAAACAAAAAAAAAAACTGACTTTGGGGTCTGGAGAGATAGCACAGCGGGAAGGAAGTTTGCTTTGCATGTGACCAGCCCGGATTCAATTCCCACCATCCCATATGGTCCTCTGAGCACCGCCAGGGGTGATTCCTGAGTGCAGAGCCAGTAGTAACCCCTGTGCATCGCTGGGTGTGACCCAAAAAGCAAAAAAAAAAAAAAAACCTGACTTTGCTGGTTGAGCGGGGCTGGACCCCAGGGCCTCATGCGCGGCCCTTGACGCCTGGGCCCCACAGCAGCCCCACGGGGACCTGTGGGTGTCCACGTGCCTTTGTCCCCGTGGGCTACGTGAAGCCATGACGCCGCACGATTGCCCGCAGGACACGGACCTGGTGCCAAGTGACATTGCGGCTGGCCTTGCCCTGCTCCATCAGCAGCAGGACAACCTGAGTGGCAGCCGTGACCCTGAGGAGGTGATCAGCTGTCCCCTGGGGTCCCCCCAGGTAAGTCCAGCTGTCCTTGGGGCGGGGTCTGGCCTGGGAGAGAAAAGTGCTCCAGGCCAGTGCTCCAGGGTGGAGCGCCTCAACCCCTCCCAGGGCGCCTCCCCCACACACACACACACACCGGGCATGGCTAGGCAGTATTGGACACAGTGGCTTCCCCCCAGGACTCGGAGCTGGACGCCGAGCTGGAGAACTGCCGCCACTACATGCAGTTCGCGGCAGCCGCCTATGGCTGGCCCCTGTACGTGTACCGGAACCCCTTCACGGGGCTCTGCAGGATTGGGGGCGACTGGTAGGTGTGGCTCCTCAGGGCCCTGGGTTCTGTGTCTTGCTCTGAAGTTTTGGCTTAGGTCCCCTCCAGATCAGGCCTCCACCCACCTTCCCACATGGTGCCCCGGGTGAATCCCCAACACCCCAAAGCGTTTTCCAGGGCCCACGGAACCCAAATGCCACCCCAAATCAGCCAGAAACCACCAAATAAACCGATGCAGAAACATTCTGAGCCTCGGGGATGGTGCCCGCGGCCTGGGAGTCTGTCCCCGTCCCCAGTATGCCCAGTGTGCCCTGCCCTCACTCCAACCCCCTGAGAACCTGGCCCCCCATCCCCGACCCGCCACACGCCATCTGGACCCTAGATGGCGGCAGCACCTGGAGGAGCTGGTCAGGTGTGGACAGAAGCCACGGGGGGGGGGGGGGGGGGGCACAGGGACATACATGTATCCTTTACGGGCTGGTGACACCGTGCCATGCAGCTGCAGGGGCCCAGTTCTCGAGGACGGCCCAGTCGAGGGTGAGCGGCTGCGCTGCCACCTGGGCTCCATCCTGCACACCACAGGGCTGCAGTGCCGCGACTTTGTCCACATCAGCTTTCACGACAAGGTCAGTGCACGGTGATCGGGGCTGGTTTCCCGCCAGACAGAACAGAGGTGACGTGTCGGCCTCAGAGGCAGCGCTGTGTCTCGGGGACAGCTGCTGGGCGCGGGGCTACTGAGGGGCTCGGTCTCTCCACCAGCCCCCGGTGATCCCCACAGGGCTCTGGGGGACCAGCGGGGAGCTTCCACCACCCAACCCTAGCCTTGCAGAGGCAGCCTGTGGGTCACCTGGGCTGATCCCCCCACCAGAACTGTGTCCCCATGGGCTCCCTGGTGGCTCCTGGAGAGGGAGGGACAGGACTATGTCCCGGCAGATGGGCATTGGCGCCTGTGCTGGGGTTGGGGCTGGCCCTGACCCCACCCGCCCGCAGGTGTATGAGATCCCATTCTTCGTGGCGCTGGACCACAGGAAGAAGTCGGTGGTGGTGGCCGTGAGGGGAACCATGTCTCTCCAGGTTAGCAGCACCCCCCCACCCCTGCCCCCAGGCTCGCCCCTCCCACCCACTGGCTACCCTATGTCTGCCCCAGTCTGACACCTCCTCCAGGAAGACCCCTGGCTCCCAGGGCCTTTTCCAGGCTCCCGTGGGCTGCTGTGGCTCGCAGTGGTGCTCACCCCCCTGCCTCAGCTTTAGGGTGCCCCTGTGCCTTCTCAGCTGCCCCTCACTGCTCACCCGGTGGGCCAGCCCCTCATACGCTTGCGCCTCCACCCCTGCCCAGTGGCCTCCCTTGGGCAAAGATGGCCTCTGCTTCTAGAGAGCAACCAGTGCTTGGAAGCAGCCCACCTCCAGGAAGTCCCCTGGTCCTGCAGGGGCATCTCCTGCCCGCCCTGCCTTCTTGCTCTCACCGAGCAGCCCCGGGAAGGGTCTGGACTTGATTCTGGCCTTGATGCCCGGACCCCACAGTCCCCGCCCAGCCAGAGGCTCACGCTGTGGGCCTCAGGACTCCCTGGCTAGCCACCAGGATTTCCTCCTGGATCCAGGCAGTGTGGGCTCCGCTCTGAGTGTCTCTGGCCCAGGAGATACCCCATCTCACTGCAGGACCTGCCCCCAGCCCCGCAGCCCTCTTCCCCACCCCCACCCCCACTGAGTCCTCTCCTTGGCGACCTTGCAGGACATCCTGACGGACCTGTCAGCTGAGAGCGAGGCCCTAAATCTTGATTGTGGGGTGCAGGACTGCTCAGCACACAAGGTGGGGCTCAGCCCTGAGTCTGTGTGTGGGGGGGGAGCCTGACCCTGTGTGGGGGGGGCTGACCCTGAGTGTGTGGGCCACCTGGCCCTTAGTGTGGGGTGGAGGGCGGGCCTGACCCTGAGCGTGGGCACAGGACTGCTCAGCACACAGGGTAGCACCTAGGCCCTGAGCGGTTCCAGAAGACCCCCAGGGGTCTGGTTCCCCAGTGAGCAGTGCAGTGTCTGTGCCTCTTGCCTTGTGGGGTCGGTACAACCAGCTGTGTCTCCTGCAGGGGATCTCGCAGGCTGCCGGTTACCTGCACCGCCGGCTGGTGAAAGATGGGATCCTGAGCCAGGCCTTCAGCGCCGCACCCGTGAGCCCTCAGCGCCGCCCACCCAGCCCCGCTGACCTGCCCCTCGCCCCTGCCCCGCCGACTTGCCCCTTTGTCCCCCCCCAGGACTACCGGCTGGTCGTGGTGGGCCACAGCCTGGGCGCTGGCGCGGCGGCACTGCTGTCACTCCTGCTCCGGGCCGCGTACCCGAGTGTGAGATGCTACGCTTTCTCCCCGCCCCGGGGGCTGCTCAGGTACTGCCCATGGCGGCGTCTTCCCCGCAGAGGCCGGTGAGGTGCCCACCAGGACCCACCGTCCATGGGTGGGAGGAGGGGAGTTCCCGGAGCGTTGCGTCGCCCTAGCGGTGGCTGCCGGGCGGGGCTGAATGTCCAACCGGGCTCGCTCCAGCCCTTCCATGCCGTGGTTTTTCGGGGTCTCACGTTTTCCCAGGCGTCTTGGGGCCTGTCCACGGGAGGCGCCGGTCGAAGGCTCCGCCCGCTGCCGGGGGTCCGGAGTCCGTGGAGCCCTGGTGGCCCTGCTCCCCTCAGGAGAGGCCGGGGCTGGGCGTGGACGGTCCCCGCCCCTCACTAACGGAGCCTTTGGGGTTCCAGCAAAGCCCTTCACGAGCACTCGCAGAGCTTCATCGTGTCTCTTATCCTGGGCAAGGATGTGATCCCCAGGTGAGTGGGGCCGCGGGCTGGGCGGGCACAGGCGGGCCGGGCGCGGGACTGAGCTGGGCGGTGTCGGTGCGACAGGCTCAGCGTGACCAACCTGGAGGACCTGAAGCAGAGGATCCTGCGGGTCATCGCCCACTGCAACAAGCCCAAGGTAACAGGCAGGAGTGCAGCTGGCCCTGCCCTGGCTCTGCAGGACAGCAGGAGCTGTGAAGCAGGTGGCTTGGGCAAGCAACGGTTCGCTGATGGCCTTCGCTGCCAGGCCGGGCACCCCGGGGCCGAAGTGACAGCACGGCGGGGAGGGCACTAGCCTTGCCTGCCACTGACCGGGGTTCGATCCCCAGCATCCCATATAGGCCCTGAGCTCAAAGCCAGGAAGGAGGAAGCCCCCCACACAGGCCCGGCTGCAGGGGCCCCTGACCCCATCCCCAGCGCCACATAGTCCCCTGACCACTGCTGGGAGTGACCCCGAGCAGAGCAGACAGACACGCGGACTGCCTGGAGTTGGGGTGTCCTCAATGCCTGTATCATGGGAGCAGGGCAGGGCGTCCTTTCCTGTGGCTCTCACTGAGGCAGACTGCCATGCTGAGCCGGCAAGCTGCCTTAGAGGACACAGTGGCCCTTGAGTTCGGTGAGACTGCTGGGTGTTCCCGGAGCTAAAAGGCCATCCCAGAGGGGTGTTCCTGGTAACCGGGCCCCTGCATACACCTGGCAACACCCCCAGGGACCTGGGCCACCTCCCTCTCTTTGGTGGTGCTCAGCCGAAGGCCTGCCACTTCCTGGCCAGATTCCCACCTGTGGCCTTTGGGGGGTCTGCTGGGGGACCTGCGGTGCAAGCAGAGGCGCCCCTGCTCAGCCGCTGCCTGGCCTCAGGCTGGGTCCCCCGGCATGGGTGAGTGTCAGCACCGCTAACCAGACCCCTGGCTCTCGCCCTCAGTACCAGATCCTGCTGCACGGGTGCTGGTACGAGCTGTTCGGGGGGAGCCCCGCCAACTTCCCGACGGAGCTGGATGGGGGCCAGCAGGGGGACCTTACCCAGCCTCTCCTTGGGGAGCAGAGCCTGCTAGTGCGTGGCTCCCCGAGCTACAGATTCTCCAGCGATTCCCCGCTCCGGTCCTCCCCCCAGTACCCACCCCTGTACCCCCCGGGCAGGATCATCCACCTGGAGGAGGAGGGCACTTCTGGTCGGTGAGTTGAGGGGGGGGTCGGGGGGGCCTCTGGCACCCACGTGTCAGCGTGATTCAATGCCGCCCCCCCCCCCCATCCCCGCCTCCAGGTTCTGCTGCTCCACCACCCAGTACAGCGCCAGGTGGGCCCACGAGGCTGAATTCAGCAGAATCCTCATCGGACCCAAGATGCTGACCGACCACATGCCTGACGTGATGCTCCGCGCCCTGGACAGGGTCGTGTCTGATAGGGCCACGTGTGTGTCCTGCCCAGCCAACAGAGTGGCCCCCGCGCGCATGGCCTAAGTCCTGAGGGACCGCCGAGTCACTGCTCTACTGACAAACAGGCAAACAGTGGGAGAGGCACCAGGTCCCAGCTGGGATAGAGGGCAGGAGAAGCTTCTGGAAGCCTCCCTGGGTGCCTGCACCTCCCCACCCTGCTGGGCTGTCCAAGGCAGAATGTAGGGGCAGACTGGGCCTTTCTGGCCCCCCGGAGCTCGGGCTCAGCTGTGAGGGCGCCACAGGGACCCCGCCGACATCCACCGAAGATTGGCTGGCAGCCCGCAGAAGTTCACTCAGGCACTGGCGTACCCCCAAGCTGCTCCCCATAAACAGATCTGTCTGCTGTGAAGCCAGCAAAGCGGGTCTGAGTCTTCTTGGCGCCCTGAAGACCAAGGGTCTCGCTCACCAGTCACAGTGAAGGGGTTTGCGTTTTAATATTTGGGGGCTAGGGAAGCAATCTGTACCCAGCTCTCACTGCCCCAACTGTTTTTTTCAGTCACAGCCCAAGGAGGAGGGTGGGCTGCCCACAGCCACGCACAGCACCTCCGGGCTAAGACAGGAACTGGGCACAGGGGGGTTCCCCACGAGGTGCTTCCTCGGCCCACAGCCCAAGTGGGCCTCAGGGCACTGGCAGCCTCCAACCTGCATGAGAGGCCAGGTCGCCTCTGCTCCAGTCTGTACACATACGCCCTCCTGTGGCTGAGGGGAAGGAGCACACGTGTAGGGTCAGAGACTCAGCTCAGCTGGAGATAAGGGCTGGGGGTGCAAGTTACTAAGCAATTAGAACCCAGTTCCAGGAGAGGGAGGATACCTGCAGGCACTGCCAGGGCTGACAACTTCATAGGTGGACAGCCAGTGACTATCGGCCACAGGCTTGCCGTGCATGAGGCTGAGGGGCAGGTCCCAGCATCGCCAGGGGGCGCTCCTGAACACAAGGCCAGGGTGTGTGCCCCAGTACTGTGACTGTAGGGTGGGTGTTTGACTTTCATTTGGCTGACCTGGGTTTGATCCCAGCATCCCCTAAGGCTCCCTAAGCAACACCAGTAATTCCTGAGCATCACTGGGTGTGGCCCCGCAAAAGAATCAGAAACTCAGAGTTGGATTGATAGGACAGTGCTACTGGTAGGGCACTTGCCACGCATACAGCTGACACAGGTTCGATCCCTGGCACTACATAGGGTCCCCCAAGCCCACCGAGAATGATCCCCGAGTGCAGAGCCAGGAGTGAGCCCTGAGCATCACTGGATGTGGCCAAATAAACAAAGCCAAAAACTCCAGTCTGGGCAGTGAGCCCAGGAGACTCGAAGAGACGCAGAGGTGAGGCCAGGCAGCCCCTGACCCAGCCATCTGAGTGTGCTCCTGGCTACCGGCTGGTCACTTAGTGAGGCCGAAGGTGGTGACAGCACTGCCTAGCGGGGCCAGGCCCTGGCAGCCTTCAGGGTGAGAACAAGCAGGGGTCTCTCTCTGGGGACGACGCTCAGAACCACATGGTCTCAGCCAGACACCTGGTGTGCCCACCAGCATGGGGTCGGGGAACCTTCACAGTACTTAGAAGGTGGATTCAAACATTCTCCAACAGCTTGTGGTTCAAGAAAGGATCCTAACTCAGTTGTCAGTCTGCACCCCCAACAGCTGCACCCTTCATAGCAAGCCCTGCTCCCCACACCCTGGAGGCCCCAGCACAGGCTCCTCGGTGAGCCCCAACCGTGTGCTGGCCCCTCCATCTCTCCAGGGATGCATGAAAACCTGAAGGTGACCCAGGATCCCACTTCAGGATTTTGTGGCTCTGGAGCCACACCTGGTGCTCTGGGCTCTTTGGCCAGTGCTCGATGGAACTGAAGTAGGTGTGCAAGGCAGGCCCCCCCACACACCATCTCACCAGGTGAGGCAGACACACAGTCAATTGTTCACTGAGATCTCAAGAATTCGACTATTACCAGGTATCTGATTCAAGGATTTATTAAGTCATACATGCAAAACATACTGCTAATTGCATTAGCAAAAGATCAATGTAAAAACACTCCACAATTCTGCAATTGTCAATTAAAAAAGTTTTGTTCTAGTGGTTGAAAGTTCCAACCTTGTGTTCTCGCCAGTGGGTAAGTTGTACAAAACTCTGTTAGCACAAGCACGGTCTTTACAGAATCTCAGACCCAAAGGAACAGTGGAAGGAGCCAGGAGGAAGCGTGGCCAAGGGGCAGAGGGCAGCGTTAGTCAGGGTGCGGAGCTGGCCGGCTGTAGTGTTAGGAAGCCCGGGGAGGTTGGGATATCTAAAATATTTAAAAAACTAAAAAGCTGCAACACATGATTTTTACACCTAGTCACTAGAAAACTAAGAAAGCGTCGGTTAGCCGAGTAAAGGATCAGGAAAACATGGGATGCACTTTCACTAATCTACCCCAGAAGTAACGCAGTGTCAGGAAGTTCTACAGGGAGGCCTATTGCTCACGAGGGAGGTTCGAGGGCAGGGGCTGGCTGAGCCGCCACGGGAATCCCAGTTCCAAGATGCGTTAGGAAGGCCCAGCCAGGGGACAGAGCGCTGGGGCCCACACAGTAGCCTCCCTGCACACAGCGCCCTGCAGAAACGTTCCCCGGGACATTGATTCGTTTTCATCGTTCCATGTACGATGCAGTGTGAATTCACCTTTGCCTCAGTTTGTCGGAATACTGTCTTCACCTCGGGTCACAGGAGGCCCACCCCCCAGCGCCCCCCCGGCCAGAGCAGAATTCTGCAGGGGGGGGGGGGGGGCGGAGGGAAGGTTCTGGTCCAACTCCGCAGAGGCTCCAACACTTGGATGTCTCAAAACATTCGCTCGGGACTCGGCACCCCGAGGGGCTGCACCCGCCCGTACAGTACGAGATGGGGGAGGGGAGGGGCCCTGGGCAGCACACCCTGCTGGGCGCAGGCCGGACCCTGGTTCCCTAACTTCAGAAGCTACAGGTTGGGGGAGACCAGGCCACCCCGCTCACCGGCTCGGCTCGGCGATGCGGCGGAGGTCACGAGGGGTTTGGCAACACTCTGAGCAAGAACTGGGGCTCTCGAGAAATAAGGCTTTAGGAAAGCGTCGTTTTAGGGCTAAATTTTAATAGAATGTGAAAAGTTTTAACTCTTACACTTGAAACAAAGCCTTAAAATGACTGATTGGTTCAAGGGTCTCGTGGGGAAACTAATCTGTAACAAAAACTTGGCATTGCGCGGCGCGGCCCTCACAGCAGCAGGCACTTCCTCTTCCGCTTCTTGACGGGCGGCGGGCAGAGCACGGCGCGGATGGCCTCGTCGAACACTGTCTTCAGGCCCCGCTGCGTGAGCGCCGAGCACTCCAGGTACTTGACGGCACCTGCCGAGAGATGCAGTTGCTGACCCTGCCCGCAGGGGGAGCGGCCAGCCCTGCCCCAGGGATCGCCCACCCAGCAGGGTACAGGGCTCACTCTTACCGATCTCCTTGGCCATGGCCAGGCCCTGCGGGTAGGTGATGGGCGTCAGCTTCTTCTCTTTAAGCTTCTCGATCGTGTCTTTGTCATCCCGGAGGTCGAGCTTGGTGCCCACCAGGATGATGGGGGTGTTGGGACAGTGATGTCGTACTTCGGGGTACCACTGCATGGGAGGGGGCAGGTGAGCACGCTCCGCCCACATGTCCTGTGGGGTGGCACCCTGTCCCCACGCTCACAGCGCGGCAATGACTGGAAACAAGTCTAGGCGGGCTCCACTCTCGAGTTCCCCATTGCCTGACCCCTACCAGTGCCCCCCAGGGCCCCCGACTCACCTTCGCACGCACATTCTCGAAGGACGCAGGACTCACGAGAGAGAAGCAGATGAGGAACACATCCTGGGGGAGATGGACAGTGAGGATGCGCCTGCATGCCCCTCCCTGGGCCCGCTCAGGCACCCCCAACCCCCCAAACCTGCACATGGAGCAGCTGAGCTTCCGGGGGATAGAAGCGGGGTCAGTGGAGAGAGCTGAGGCCGGCAGCCCTGCTACTAGGCCAGAATCTCCCTCCCGCCACGTCCCCCCAAACTGTGTGGCCTTCTTTGTTCCGCCCCCAACAGGGATCACCCCCACCCGGACGGTGCTCTCTGTGCTGGTGCCTGCACCCCTCCTTCAAGCCTCCAGCGGGCACCAAACAGGAAGCGAGGACAGAGGGGAACCCAGAAGAGCCCCCCCCAGGCTCCACGCTATCTGCAGCAGGTGCAAATGCCCAGGCCCCACCTTCCCGGGAGACCGTCCTGCTTCTGCGGAATAGATGATGCCCCCTCACCTCCCGCCGAGTGGCTCCTGGAGGGCTGGGGGGGGGGGGGGCGGGGGCGGTGCATGCTCGAGCGTGGGTCCCCGCAGCCAGCCCGAGCCGGTCAGCTCACCAGCGCTGCAGTTAGCCCCGGCCGGCCACCACACCGACACCGACACCAAAGCAGGGTGAGAGGGTGGGGAAGGCCAACAGCCAGGGTTAGTCCGTCCAGCGCGAGCACCAGCCAGGAGCTCACGGGGAGGGGCGGCCCTGGGCTCACGCTCCCGGGGAGCTGTGAGGGGGCAGAGGGCGAGCTGGGAACTGTTTACATACGGCAATCGGGGCCCCCGGCTTGTCTGTGCCCCTGCAGCCTCTATCCTTACTATACGGCTCTCCAACCTAGCAATGCAGAACTCGGTTTCAATTCAGTAAAGATGAAGGGAAGTGACAAACCACACAACCTGCTGTCACTCCTCAGCATCAGCCCTCTGGAGGGTCTGCAAGCTGCGGGGGGGGGGGGGGGGTCCTGACAGTCTCACCTGATCTGCACCCGCTCCACTCCATGGCCCGGCACCCACCCTTGCCCCCCACCACAGTACTCCACATCTACCTCTTGCACCCTGAAATGGGAGAGTCGCTTTCGGCACCGCCACCGAACCCTGGAATGGGCTGCGTGGCAAGGCATGCAGCGGGCTCTCTGCAGCCCAGCCCAGCTCCCCAGCGTCCACTCTGGAAGGTTCCCCAGAGACTTAGCCCATTGCCAGATCTCAGGAGGCTACCAGGACCCTCGGGGAGCAACCTCCCCCCCCCTGCTGTGTCCACCTCCCTGCCCCTCCCCCATCGCAGCGCTGGTCAGTGCCTGCCTGTCCCCACGACCCAGGGTTCTGTCATGGGCCTGGCCTGGGGGTGGCTAGAGGCGCTTCAACTCCCCAACCCCAAAAGCACCTCCTCCTCCTGCCATAGTCTCTCGCAGAGCGGGTGGGACTCTCATGGAGATGCACTCCCCACCTGCTCCCTGAGACCACACCCAGACCCACCTCACCCCCTTTCCCGCTGTGCCCAGGCGAGTGTGGGATGCAGCCCCACTTGCCGCCCAAGGGCAACAGGCTCTGCCTTGTATGACGGCTGCGGTTTTGGGGTCACACTTGGGTTCCTCAGAGGTAAGCTCGGGGAGAGCAGGAGGTGCTGAGGCTTGAACCCAGCTTCCGGCATGCAGAGTCTGTGGTCTAACCAGGACCACACAGGGGCCTGTCACCTACCACCGAGCACCGCTTGGCCCTGAAGGCTTTCTCCTTCGGGCCACAGGGTCAAGGAGCCAGACCCCCTTCCCAGGAAACCAAGATCAGGGCGCTGGGCCTTGGGCCAGCCCTGCGGGGGACGACGGCCCCAGGCAGAAGCACACGTGGGTCGTGGGTCGAGGGAATTTCCCACGGGGGAACCGCACAAGCTGGAACAAGGGTTGGGCAAACCTGCGGCCCCACGTGTTCCGAACAGCGGGGTCCCGAGCCACGGGAGCACATGGTGCAGGGTCAGGTCAGGTCCAGCAGCTCGTGGCCTCAGGGTTGGAGTTATGGGGCTCAGAGGTGCAGGGGTCAGGGGCAGGAGCAGGTCCCCGCCATGCCGGATGGAAGCCCCGAGGCTCCATGGATCCACCCAAGCCCCCACCACAGTGAAGCGGCCGCCAGTGCAACCAGGAGGCCTTACACAAGCCCACCACACGCTTCCTCCTAGAGCCCAGGGAAGACCAGTCAGTGCCGGCCCCAGGGACGCCACTGGGTCCTCAAAGGCTGCTGGGCCGGCGGGGCCCCTCAGTGCACGCTCCAGGCTCCATCCTGAGTGAAGTTTCTGCACCGCCAGGTGGGAAAGCCAAACCCCAAATGAAATGCAAGAGGATGGAGAGACTGGCCAGAGCCCCTCACCCCCTCACCAGACTGGGACCAGCCCTGGCCCCTCCAGCCAGCCCCACACCAGCAACTTCTGCTCCCCAGGACCCTGCCCTGGCGGATACAGCCCCCAGACTCCTCTGTAACTCGGGGGGGCCAGGGAGCCGCTCACAAGAGTCTCCTGCAGGCGGCTGCCCACTGATCCTGCCCCCGTGGGACATGCCACCACCCAAACAAACCCCCAACGATGCTGAGACCTGGGAACAAAGAGGAAATACAGGACCCGTGTATTTTATAAACCTGTACTAAATCCTGAGCTCAGCTGGACGGAAGGAAACACTTCTGTCAGCCCTGGGGTCACACCTCAGAGCCCCACCGGCCCCCAGAAACCCTTCCCAAATGGCTCCATTCCACCCGTGCCACAAAACTGCCAAAGCAGGGGCTGGAGCAAGAGCACAGCGGATAGGGCGTTTGCCTTGCATGCGGCCAACCTGGTTCAATTCCCAGTATCCCATATGGTCCCCTGAGTACCGCCGGGGTAATTCCTGAGTGCAGAGCCAGGAGTAGCCCCTGTGCATCGCCAGGTGTGACCCAAAAAAGAAAAAAAAAAAAAACCCTGCCAAAGCAGAAGGGGGTTTGTAGGCACGGTAGGGACCCCTCCTAGGGCTGGAATGCAGAGACCAGCCAGGGCACCCACTGCTGGACCAAGGCCAACACTCGACAAACCCCCTGAACCGGCCACAGAAGGAACTCTACAGGTGACACCAAGTGCCCGTCAGGAGCGGGGAAGCCCAGAGTGCATTAAGCTTCAGACAAGAGCAGGAGCACGGCCGCCAGCAGCACCCGAGCACAGGGGCCTTACCGTCTGCGGGTAGGACAGGGGGCGCAGTCTGTCGTAGTCCTCCTGCCCAGCCGTATCCCACAGGCCCAAGTTCACGGGCTTCCCATCGACCATAACATTGGCAGAATAGTTGTCGAAGCTGCAGACAGGAGCGAGGCCCAGTTAGTCATACGTGACCCGGAGCAACGCCAACAAGCGATGGTCAGCTGTAAAACCCAACTCGACTCCAGGAACGGGCAGAGCACACGGATGCCCCGTGCTCCCCTCTCCGTGCTCTGAAACTCACGTCTCACTACACTGTGGGTGCCAAGTCCGACTGGAAGGGCCACGGCTGTCGAGGGCCAGGCCAACCGTGCCCCTGCACCCCCAGTGCTGTGACCCATCCAGGGGAGCCAGTGTGAGTCCTGGCACCAGACAGATGGGGATGGCAGCGAGTCCTGAGTGAGGCAGGTAAAAGCACGAAGGCTCCGAGGGGCCACGAGCCAGGCCTGGCAGCAGATCTGGGTCAAGAGCACGCTCTGCGGGAGCCAGCTCCACGGGCCGGGAAAGCCACAAGCGGGCAGACACGTCTCTGCTCCGACAGGGAACCACACAGGTGTCCTGAGCCCATGGGAGCCAGCGGGAGCCCCCGGGAGATTCCCCAATAGAAAACGCTCCCCCCACCCACCCCCGCCCACTGGGGAACCAACGGCGTACAGCCAGCCTCTTCTTCATCCTCCTCTTCCTCACACCCCAGTTTCCATTCCAAAGCCAGATGCCTCAACAGTGACAAGACTCGCCAGGCACAGCCAACTCGAACCGAATGGGGCGGCCCAGCTCTGGCTGCCAGCACACACCGCCCAAACAGCCGGCAGCGACTCTCCTCACGATCGTCTCTAGACTCCTCAGGTTTTCTCCTGTCTCCACGCCCAGGACGCACTTAGGGAAACTAGCCATGCTTCCGCGGTGGAAACTTGAGGTATCTTTTCAAGAAAGGCCCAAATACCTTCTAATTAGCCCCTGGTGAATGCTAACAGGAAAATCACTTGTGTCTGTTCAGAGATTAGTAAGAGTTTTGACAGCCAGGGTGAAGGCGCGCTCACTCACACGGTGGGGATGTACTCTCCGGGGAAGGCATTGGTCGTGTAGCTGATCAGGAGACACGTCTTACCCACGGCGCTGTGGAGAAAGGGGACATGTTACGTTAGCAGGACTTGCAGCCAAGCCATGGCCACACTCAGACACTTACCTCGAAGGAGTCTCCGCGTCCCGGCCCACACCACACCCAGCTCCGTCCTGCACGCAGAAGCTAATGAACTAGGATTTTTCAGGCAGGTGGAGTTTAGAGCCTTCTAGTTAGGCCCCTGCTTTTGGCACAAGTCAGGAAACAGTAGAGAAGTGCAGGACTCAAGAGACACAACGGATTTGGTTGTTTAGGGGGACCATACCTGGTGGGGCACTCCGGGAACTACAGAGCGTTCTGGGGATTGAATCTGGGTTGGTGGGATACAAGAAAGTGTCTTCCCCCCCGTCCTGTGTGTCAGGAACTGTCTCTTCCTTAAACCTCTTTTACCCAAGAGCCTTCATCTTTTTTTTTTTTTTTTTTTTTGCTTTCTATGGGTCACACCCAGGGATGCTCAGGGGTTTCTCCTGACTCTGCGCTCAGGAATTACTCCTGGTGGTGCTTGGGGGACCATATGGGATGCTGGGGAACCCAGGTCAGCCACGTGCAAGGTGAACGCCTTAGCTGCTATACTATCCGCTCCGACTCCAAGCCCTCAATTTTATCCTTACTTTGAAAACAAAGGCCACAACCCCATTGCCCAAAGGCTGGCCCTGGTTTTTGACATCACTGGGCACCCCCGACTGCCTCAGGCAGGCGCCCCCAGGCCAGGAACCCCTCGGCTACAGCCGGCAGGAGTGGCCACCAAGCAGTGCTCAGGGATACTCCTCGCACGATGCTGGGGGGGGGGGCACATGAGGTGCCGGGGATCCAACCTGGATCCGAGCATGTAAGGCCAATGCCCTCCCTGCTGCACGACCCCTCCTGCCCCCACAGTGCTCTGCTATGTTCCTCACTTTCTGAACTTAAGGCGAAAACCTCTCCGCGAGGACAGATGACAAGCTCCTCCGGTCTTGCCAATACTTGTTTCCATCATGACATTACTAAGCACTTAACAAGAGCTGGAACTTCCCGGCTCAGAACCCGAGTCAAACATGACCTCATGAGGCGGCGGCCGCCAGTGGGGAGCCTTCTCCCCCGCCTTGGAGAAGGTCGAAGGGCAGAGGACAAGGGCAGAGGGCGGGCGGTTCCTCCCTGCACCAACTTCCCGATGCCCGTTTTTCAACTGTCAAGTGAGTGCAAAGGCGTGGAATGTGGGCCCCCCTGGGAAGACCCCAACACTCCTCAGAGGCCCAGAGAATCCTCAGTTTGCATCTGGCGTGGAAGGAGAACCCCCAGAAAACTAGGCCCAGGTGCAGAGCAACAGGAAGCCCCCAACCCTGACGGTGGAACAGACAACAGAGAGTCACAAGGGCTGAGGCCATCTCCGGATGGGACATGGCCAGGGGCTTCAACTACTCAAAAGGGGGCCAGAGCCACAGGACAGTGGGGAGGGCGCTCGCCCTGCACACGGCAGACCTGGGTCCTATTCCCAGCATCCCATACGGTCTCCCAAGCACCGCCAGGAGTAACCCCCTGAGCATCGCTGGGTGTGACCCAAAAATCAAAATATAAAGTCTCTCCTGAAAGAGACTTCGGTTCATAAAGGTGCCCGAGACCTGATGCCGAACGGAATTGTTTTTTTTCCCTAAACAGTGTTTGATTCCGCAAATTTCAGAGAATACACAGATAATCCCATTATCCCAATATTCTCTGAGTGAAGAAAATCAGGTTTGATGTATGATGAACTAAAATCCCAGTGCCAATGCTCTAGGCAATGAGAGGAACGTCATCAAATTGAAATTGTATCAATGTCTGCTACAAAACTATGGCGTCCTATACAAAAATGATTTAAGTGGTAGAATTCTGACTTTCAGCATAAGCATCTAGCCTTTGTTTGAAATATTCACTCTAACTTTTAAAAACACACGAAGAACATGCTCTTCCCATTAGTGTACATATTAGTGTATATTTTTCTCTCCTTTAAAATCCACAAATACACACCAGAGGCCAAAGTCATTCCCAGCTCCCCACAGACAGGAAGTGACCACTGAGGCAAGAAACACTGCTATCATTGCTATCGGCCTGGAGAGAAATGAAGCAGTGGGCGTGACCCATGCACTCTGGCCTCTGCCCCCAGGAGCCATCCCTGAACACCACTGGGTGTGGCCAGAAAACAAAAATTTTACCATTCACCTTGGAATTTCCAATTTTATATACTGAACTGTTTAAACTAACCTCTCCCCAGTCTTTGGGAAAAAAAAATAAAGACGAATGCAATTCTACCGGAAAGCACCCGAATTCCCTTTTAAAATCAACCCTCGGGGGCCCAGGACGTGTCCACATTCCTTACACACGTGCGCTCACGCGTGACCCGGGGTTCAACTCCCCCCACCCCCAACTCAGGCTCTAACAGAAGTTTTTGAAGCGTCCAAAGCAAGACACTCCCTGGACTGCAGCCTCAGAAACTTCTCTGGGAACCCAAGCCTGGGGGCAAAGCCCCAGACAGGAAGCTGGCGGGGTCCTCGGACTTCCTGGTCGTGGAAAGGGAAGAGGGTCACAGGTGGACACACCACTCGGATGACCTCAGGAAAGGTTTATCTGCACAGCCCAGCAGTTCCTGGACAGTGGGGCAGGGAGGCCTGGGCTGACTCACCCGCAGGCCGCCTGCCAGAAGCATCGGGGAGGCCAGGCACCCACCTGCACCCACGCCCCGCCACGCGGTCCACCAACAGCGGTGGCCTGTACCTGACTGCTAACGCAGTCTCCCCACACAGAGCACGGCAACATCTGGGGGCCAAATTCCCAAAAAAGTGATGAAGAAATAGCCAACTTTAACAGCAAACTGACCAAATTTTGGGCCCCAGTGAGAGTACAGCGGGTGGGGCACTTGCTTTGCACTTAGCCAACCAAGGTTCGATCTCCAGCACCCAAAACGGCACCCAGAGTACCGCCAGGAGCGGTCCCTGAGTGCAGTCAGGAGGAATCCCCCAGGAATCCTGGGGTGTACTCTCTCCCCAAAAAACACCTAAACAAATTTTACCTCCTATACCCAATGTCAATGAAGCTGCTATACAGGGAAAAACCCAATTTGAAAACTAACTGGCCCTAGGTATAACATGGCTTTAGCACGGCTTTTAACCAAACTTCCAGGAACCTGAACTCTGCAACTTGTGGAACCTCCACTGGCCTCCACAGCCGCAGTCTAAAACTCTCAAAGGGCTGTGACTTCTTAGCCCCCAACTCAATGCATTACCAGTTGACAAAAGGAAACTTCCAACTGCCTCCTCAGGAGCACAGTTCATTCTACCAAGAAAACACCGCTTCTATGGGAAGGTTCGTGCTTTGTCCCAAAAAACGTTTGCCCATGTCTGTAAGAACCTAAACCTTCCTCTCCACTCAGACCCTGCTCAGCCCTGGAACTAGCCTCCGAAATGCCTCCAAGAGCCGGCTGGAAGGCACGGGGGTATCCCCAGGTCTGAGCGCCAGGACACTGCAAGGAGTGGAGTCCTAGTACCTCCACACCCCCCAAGCCCCAACGCCCTGAGAAACGAGTGTGCTCCAGGCGGGGAGCGGAGCCCAGCGGGTGCAGGCGGGTGGGCCGGGTTTAGCTCGATCAGGGCTAGCCCAGGGCGCGGTGGGGTGGAGGAGTCAGGGCGGGCCGAGACCCAGCAGCTGCACTGACAAGGACCAGATAAACGGGTCAATAGGCTCCAGCAGGGCCCGAATCTCAGCAGGAGATAAACTGCGCGAATCGGCCGCGATGGGGTTTGACTTTGGAAAATGCGCTGCCTGGCACGCGGCTGACCTGGCCACCTTCACTCACCCCCACGCACACCCCAGACATACCCCAAACGCCCCAGGAGTGGGACCCCCGACCAGCGCCGAGAAGCAGCCCCGAGCATGGCACAAACACTCCTCCACCCAAAATAGTCCTCGTTTTTGCATCTTCCCATCAGCCTGACATTCCCCCCCCCCCGCATATGACCAAAAGGAGCAGGATTCCACGCCCGAGTGTGCTCGCTCGGCGCCGAAAGGAAATCCAAATCACGTTCCCACGTCCAGAGGGAAAGCTTAACCCAACGCTTAAGCAATTCGCCCAAGGATCGAAACTTGCCCGCCGCGACAACGGACTGCACTTCCCCTCCCCCGGGGAGAGCGGAGCATCCTCGGGGCGCCTGCCTTGCGCCCCTCGCCCCGGGGCCCAGCATCCCGGCCGCCCCGCATCCCCTCCGCCCCGGCGTCCCAGACCCGCGGGCCGCGCGCTGACAACTCGGAACGCCCGGGGGGGAGGGGGCGGCCGGAGCGCGGCGCCCCCCGAGGTACCAGGCGCGCCCCGGGCCGCCTCGGACACAGCGGTGCTTGTTCGCGGGGCTCGGCCGGGGCTCGGCGGCGAAAGTGCATAAGCCGCGGCTTGTCCTCGCGGGTGGACAGCGCGGCCTCGCGTCACCGCGCCCGGGCCAAGGGCCACCCAGCCTCCCTTTCTCTTTCGGCAACGGGACCGGGAGCGTCTCCATCGCCCCCGGCAGCCAGGGCCGAGAAAACTTCCTCGGCGGCCAGGGCCAGAAACACCCGGGAGGGCGGAGTAGGGGGGCTTTTCCCTCCCCCACCCCCTTGCCCCGAGTAGCCTCAGGGGCGGGCGGGACAAGTTTCGGGTCAGCCGCCAGCCCGTGCCGACGCGGGGACACCCCGGAAAACCCCCCCCGGGACTCCGGGCCGAGGAGGGGGCGAGCGAGGCCGCTCCCCCCACCCCCGCGCGGGAAGGCGCCCCCCCCGTCCCGCGCCCGCGCACTCACCCGTCTCCCACCACCACACACTTGATGGCCTGCATCTGGGCCGCCGGGGGGCCGCGTTCGCGGCGGGCGGGCGGGCGCGGGACGGGGCGCGGGGGGCGGCGCGCGGCGGCGGGCGCGGGGCGCGGGGGGCCGGGGCGCGGGGCACGCCGCCTCGCCCTCCGCCGACTGGAAGCCGAAGGCCAGCAGCGGCCACCACCCAAGGCGGAGGAAAACTGCAGAGAAACAGGAAATGGCCGCTCCGCTCACATCCGGCCGCCCCTCCCCCGCGCCGGCGCCGCCGCTCCCAGGCTCCGGGGCGGGGCCGCGCCCGCCCGCGCAGCTCCCGGGCTTCCTGCCGGCTTCGGGCGCGCCCGGCCGCGCTCGGGCCGCCTCGGCCGCGCTCGGCCACACTCGGGCACACTCGGGCCGCCTCGGCCGCGCTCGAGCACACTCGGGCCGCCTCGGCCGCGCTCGGGGACGCTCGGCCGTGCTCGGCCTCCGCCGCCATCTTGGCCCGCTCCCCAGCGCGGCTCCGCCCGCCAGGACTCGGGCCGCCACCGCCGAGCCCCGCCCTGGGTCCCCGCTGACCCCTCCGGGGCGGCCACGGACCCCCGCCCCAGGACCCGGAGCTCACCCCACCCCAGGCCTTCGCCGATCCCCGCCCCGGGGCCCCCACTAGCAGCGCCCACCCAGCGCCCTCGCCTGCTGTGCCTTGGCAAGCGCTTCCCAGCACGTCAGGAACTAAGGAAGGAGAAAATCAGGCTGGACCAGGGCTCAGCAGGCGCTCGCGTCCCCGGGGAGGCCCTTGCAAGCCTCTTGGGGCCTGGAGATATGAGAGGGCCGAGCACATGCCTGCACCTCGAGGTGACTCTGAGGGCCCATTCAGACCCATTGAGCACAGTTTCAGATACACACACACACATACACACTCATCCGCAAAAAAACCCTAATACTCTAGTGACCTATAGTCTTTCAGCCAAAAATGTGTGGACTGGGACGGGAGCCCCGTAGCGCAGGGCATTGGCCTTGCTCCCGACCATCCTTGGCACCCACAGCATCACCAGGATTGATCCCTGAGTAGAGAGCCAGGAGTAAATCCTGAGCACCACTGGGTGTGATCCAAAAACAAAGCCTTGACTTCTCTGAGCTATGCATATTCTTTTTCTCCTTAAATTTCCCTTTTTTTTTCCTTCCACTTTTTTGGTCACACCTGGCGATGCACAGGGGTTACTCCTGGCTCATGCACTCAGGAATTACTCCTGGCGGTGCTCAGGGGACCATATGGGATGCTGGGAATTGAACCTGGGTCAGCCGCATGCAAGGCAAACGCCTTACCCACTGTGCTATTGCTCCAGCCCCTCCCATCATTTTTAATGCACTGGGTATTCACCATGTCCCAACTTTGTACCAGTGATGGACTGTTAGCAGACCATTAAAGGACAATAAGTAAATGTCCTTAGTTATTTCTTTGCATACGTCATGAGCACATTTTAAATAGCATTGAGAAATACTGAATCATTGTTAGAACATTCTTCAGATCTGCTTCCTGTTCATCCTGCCCTTGTTCCTCAATTTCACCGAGCTGCCTGTTCCAGGAGCTGCTGTGGCAGGTAGCTGGCCACTGCAGCTTGGGTCCTGCTGGCAACTCAACCTCATTAGGACGGCTGGTTCACTGTTGGAGAGTGGACTCCAGTATGATATACAATGAGTTGACATTTTCTTTTCTTTTTCTTTCTTTAAAATATTGATTATGTTTGCTTTATTTGGGGGCCACACCTGGTGGTGCTCAGGGCTGTCCTCTGAATCTGCAATCAGGGGTCACTCTTGGCCGTGCTCAGTGGACGGAATGGACTGCCAGCCTAGGTCAGCATGTGAAAAGTAAGGCCTTATCCACTGTCCTATCACTCTGCCCCTAAGTTGATATTTTCCTTTAACCTTCTATAACTCATTCTGTTGTTCACTTTTGAGAGTTTTCTGAGATGAGATTTTTTTTATACAAGTTTGGTTATTGAGGGAGCCAGAGTGATAGGCGTTTGCCTTGCACAGGGGCATCTCAGGTTTGATCTCAGACAGCCCATATGCCCCCCCCCCCAATTGCCAGGAGTGATTCCTGAACACATAGTCAGGAGTAAGTCCTGAGTCCCACCAGGTGTGGCCCCAAAACCAAAAATAAAATTTTTTTTAAATAACCAATTTCAGTTGTTGTTCTCTGTGTGGTGTTGGGGATCAAATGTATTGGGTAAGGGCCAGAGTGATGGTACAGTGGTAGGGGTTTGCCTTGCATGTGACCAACCCAGGCTTGGTTGGTCCCTGGCAAGGTTCTTGCATGCAACTCATTCAGGTTCCATCCCTGGCATCGAATGTGGTCCCAAGCAGCACCAGAAATGATCCTGAGCACCACTGGGTGTGGCCCAAAGCTAAAAATAAAAAAGAATTTTATCCCATTGTACTGACTTGCCCTGCTGCCTTGGCTGGCGGGAGGATAGTAAGTGGGTCAGGTGGGAACGGGGTTGCCGGGATGCCAAACCCACTGGGTACAAATACAGAACCTCACTTTTCAGATTAAAAAAAAAAATTATTCACAGCAGTGGAAAGGCCTTTTGTTGGGAGATGGCAGAGATGGGTGTGGGTTGGAAATCGGCGGCATTACCAAACCAGGAAAGAGAAAAGGCATTGCTGCTGAGCGATCAAAGGGCAGAAGCTGGAGGCAGGGAGGAGCTGGTCAGGGCTGTAGAGGTCGGGGCTGGGCAGGTGAGGCCACCCAGGGCTGTGCCACCCTCCCCAGGTCCAGACTTGACCGTGAGTTGACATTCTGAACCCACCTCTTGATGCCACGGCTTGGTGACCATTTCTTGGTCGTGGATAAGGTGAAAGTGATTGCACCAATGGTTTAACTACTATTACAAGATGGCAAGAGTCACTGATACACACCTGAATGAACCTGGCCTGGGGTGTTTCTGGTGTTCTCCTTGGTAACAAAAGAACCAAAGACGTTCTTGGTCACATTGTATCAGCGCGGAACTACATTTTCCAAGTGCCTAGTGGTGTCAATGGAAGCTCCCAAGCTGTAGTGAGTTCCTGCCGGGCCTGTCCGGTGCAGAAGTAGGAAGGGCTGGCTGGAGCTGGGAGTAACACCGAGAACCACTGGGTGTGTTTTCTTCTGCCCTCAAAACCCCCAAAAAAGGGGGAACCAGAAACTGTGGCTCCAAACCAGAGAGGAGAGAGGAAGGCCCAGGGTGATCAGCCCACACGCAGGCAGGATTCTTGTTGCACCCCAGAGCTGAACAGCGGGACGCCTTGGGTGGAGGTGCTGGGCACTGTGGACAGCAGAGGCTGTGGCTAGAAGTAGGAGAAGCGGAAATGAAGCAAAGGAAGAGAAGAGAAGCAGCCTCCATGGTGGGTGGTTACACAGTAACCCCTCCCAACTGCATCCTAGGAACTTTCAAATGGAAAAGTCGAAGAATCTTCAGCTAACAGCCAGCCATAGAGGAGTCCCAACTGTCCCTTAACTTGGCTTTTTTGTTTTTTTTGCTTTTTGGGTCACACCTGGCGATGCACAGGGGTTACTCCTGGCTCTGCACTCAGGAGTTACTCCTGGCAGTGCTCAGGGGACCATATGGGATGCTGGGAATCGAACCCGGGTCGGCCGTGTGCTAGGCAAACGCCCTACCCACTGTGCTATCGCTCCAGCCCCTAACTTGGCTTTTTCGTTTTTCTGGGCCACACCCAGCTGTGTGCCCTGGGCTTACTCTCGGCCCAGTGCTCAGGGATCATTCCCGGAAGGGCTCAGGGAACTATATGTGGTGCTACAGATCGAACCCAGGTCTGCTGCATGCAAGGCAAGTGCCCTACCCACTGTTCTATCGCTTGACCCTCATAACTTTTCTTTGTCTTGGGGGCCGGGAGCCCCCACTTGGCAGTGCTTTGCAGTGACTCCAGCAGAGTACTCAGCAGTCACTCGAGTGGTACTCAGAGGACCAAGCGTTGCTGGAGTTGGGTCAGAGCCAGTTCCCTGTACAATAAACAAGTTTACCAAACTTGCCCATACATGCGTGTTTATTTATCCACTCTGCATTTCATCTAAAAATAATTCGTTTAATTTTTTTTCAATTCGTTTAATTTTTTTTTCAATTCGTTTAATTTTTTTTTTTTTTTTGCTTTTTTGGGTCACACCCGGCAATGCTCAGGGGTTACTTCTGGCTCACGCACTCAGGAATTGCTCCTGGCGGTGCTCAGGGAACCATATGGGGTGCTGGGAATCGAACCTGTGTCAGCCATGTTGGCTGCGTGCAAGGCAAATGCCCTACCCTCTGTGCTATCGCTCCAGCCCCTCAATTCGTTTAATTTTTAAATATACTTCAAAAAAAGTTATTCGTCGATTGCCTCGAGCAGGCCCCAGTAATGTCTCCTTCGTCCTAGCCCTGAGATTTTTTTTTTTTTAAAAGTGCCATATTCAAGGCTCTTTCAGAGTTAGGAGAATGAGACCCTTCATTGTTACTGGTATTTGGCATATTGGGTACACCACGGGGAGTTTGCCAGACTCTCAAAAAAAGTTAAAGTAGAAAAAAAGCTAAAGTAGTACATTTATCCTTATACACTTCAGCACGTATATTCATTATATTTGTGTGTATTTGGGGTTTGGGCTTTCTCTTGGCTCTGCACTCAGGGGTCACTCCTGGTGAGAGCCAGGGGACCATAGGTGGTACCAGGGATAAAACCTGGGTCAGCTGTGTGTAAGGCAAGTGACTTCACCACTGGACTCTCTGACCCCATCATTAATTGATTTATATTTACTTGGGACAGAGCGTTTTCAAAGGGCTGAGCACATGTTTCTTTGTTTTGTTTGTTTTGGGAGTCACATCTGGTGCTGCTCCTGGCTCTGCACTCAGAGATCACTCCTAGCATGTTCAGGGGGCCATATGGGGTGTAGGGAATTGAATCCAAACTAGTCGGCTATGTGCAAGGCAAGTGTCCTATCTGCTGTACTATCGCCCTGGCCATACTGATGACCGACCGGGTTTGATCCCCAGCATCACTTGGTCTCCTAGTGACTTCTAAACAGAGTTAGGAGTAGGCCTCAGTAACACTTGGGTGTCACCCAAGAACCAAACCCTCCCCCACAAAAAAAGTTCATTTTTATAGGAATAGAGCCAACCAAATAGCTCCACAGAGCAAAGCATCTTTTGTATGCTGGAGGCCCAGGGTTTAATCGCTAGCACTGCATGGCTCTAGCATGCCCGGGGAAAGCACGAAGCTGGGCGTAACCCCCAAACGCCACCAGGTGTGGCCCCCAAAC